AATACAGGTTCTAAGGAATATTTTTTAATTTTATAAATTGAAATAGGAAGGAAAAAACAACAAACAAAACAAAAACGAATGGCAGCAGATATATAGCTTTAAACACATTCATTAATATTGTAATTCTCATATCGTTTCTCACGAGCAGTGAAAATGACATCATTTCAGCATATTATATATTTCTCTAGAAAGCAGTATTTTCTTATTTTTCCATGATTTCATTGCTTTTTTCATTTGAGTCTGAACATATTGTTTGCAGCACACACAATTAAAATGACATACTAATGATAATGTTTTAATTTTGCATTACTAACGTAAAGTTACCATCTCATCCTAAAGTAAACAATAAAAAAATTATAGGCCCTATACTCTTAATATATATTTCAAAGTCATTAATACCATTAGAAAATATTACAATTGTTTTTTCGATTAATATTTAGTTTGAAGATTTCTGTAATTATATCTTAATCAATTGAATAAGATAATAGTTATCTTTTAAATAATTCTTTTTTATGAAAAGCACACGGAATTCGGTACTTTCATCCTGATTCAGAATTTATCTGCTATTTGTGTTAGATCTGGGGCCAAAATATATTTTATGTCCCAGGTTTGATGGCTTTATTTAATTTGATGAAATATGGTGCTATATCAGTTAAATATATTTCATATTTTTAAGAATAAATATGAAATATAAATATGAAAGTGGGCGGAGTCAAAATTCATATTTATTTTAAGGGACTTCTTTCGCCGTTTTGTTTGAAAAATCTGATAAATACAAAACAACTTTTTCTTGAATTTTATTTTGAAAACTATCTAGCATAATAGAAATGATTTAACTAAGAAAATTAATCCCAACACCAATATCTTTAATTCAGTGATTAACGCTGTACTGTAGAGACGTTTAAAGAGTTGTTTACATTACGTCACAATGTAGCGCCAAACAGCGCGTGCTTACGCATAAATTGCTGCGCGCTGTACAATTGCAGTTGGTAGCAAGCAAGAGGATTCGTTTCCATTTTATTTGATAATAAAAAAATAAATAAAATGGTTATTTTTTTTCGTTTTTCGTGAAAAATGGTAAATATTTTCACTCAACATGATAAAATGTTTCGTGAAAATATAAACCATATTTCACGCAAACGAAAAAATATCCTCTTATTAATTCCACCAGTTTAAAAAGTATCACCAAATTTTTTTATTTAATTGTGTATGGACCCGTATTTTATATAAAATTTTTGATGCTAAAGAGAACAAAGTTTTATTTTTCCCTGTGGTTTAAGAAAAAATTAGGACATTTAAAAAACATAAAACTTAAAAACTCCCCAAAAGCAAATCAACATAAAAATTTTGGGGAAAAAAGGATTTAACTTTACCTGTTCAAAGGGAATTTTTCAAAATATTTTTGAGTTTCAGCATTTTTTAGGGTTTTTTATTTTCATTTAAGGGGGGGTCCCCTGGCCCATGGTTAAAATCGTTGACTTTTAAAACATTGGGCCCCCACCCCCTGTGGGTTCGAATTCCCGGGCAGGGAACTTTGGATTCTTTCATGTGGGGAAAGGGTATCCAGCTAGCTTACGGAACGTTTGTTGGTTTTTTACCCCGGTGGTTTCCCTTTCGTGGGCCCGGAATAATGCAACGGCAGAGCACCTGAGGTCTTTCTCCACCAGGAAAGCTCGAACGTCGGGATATGACCTATACTGTGTCGATGTGACGTAAAACCCAAAACAAACAAACATCATATTTTATTTTAACTTTGATCCAACAATATTACACGTTTTCATGTCAACGAGATTCACGCCCTCCATGGACAGAAGAAAGTTCCTTATCTACCGATTGCGTAGAAATTGGTGTTATTGAGTTTCCTTACATACATCTTACAGTATTTTATTTTTTCCAGCTGAATAACCATTGTTAAATCTCACCATTGATAATTCTGTCAATTGTTACAAATGAATATTACATAATGCAACGTTTATAATTAGTTTAGTGATTTTATTCTATTTATTATCCTTTTATTCCTATTTGCAATATTACATATCCGATTTTTTAATAATACTGTCAATATTGCATTTGATTACAGAATATAAAGTCTAACGTAAAAACTGGGACATGTTTTATTCCAAGGTAAAAACAAGTACGTATATTAAGGGACATCTAATTAAATACTGTAATTCTACTTCGAAGCGACATCAGTATCAATATGCTCATGCATTTTATTTCTTAGCTAAAAGTCATTGTTATATCATTGTTATGTAAGCATTGCTAACATTTTTATGAACCGAAAACTAACAGATAACGTTTGCAAATTAACCAGTTTAATTTCTGCTGAGATTTTTTACGGCCGAACGTCGTTCTAAAATCAGGTTGACTTTCTGTAAAGGTTTTTATTATTTTCATTGGTCATTTTAGAGTTACAAAATGAAATCTGGGAATTTCATTGGCCATTCTAACATAATGTAAAGGATGTTTATTGTAATTCTAAGATAGTTCTAAACAAAAATGTATAAAGACGATTTTTAGCCATTAGAATTAAATGTAAAGGATAGTTCTAATAATTATAAAATGTACAGGATAAATTTTTATTACTTTCTAGCTTAAGTTTTGTTTAACCTCCTACAAAGAATTTTACATAAAACAGTTTACATTCCTTAGTTTAAGATGTTCAATAGGTGTCTAATAAACAATATGATAATTTATGTGGTCAACTGATATAAGGTTTATAATTTTCATATTTGTGAATAACACTCATATTTGTAAAAATAAATGCGTACCGACTGCGTAGATTTTGGTGTTAGAAATTTAGGTCACTTGCCGAAACACTACATTCGTTTATACCCCGGTCACATATTCACTGAATACGCCCACGGAAGAGCCACGGATTAATTCCGGCATCGTCCGTAGCTACCCGTGCTGGTCAGTAGCTCTCCGTATTGTAACCGTAATCAATCGTAGTAGTCCTTGTATATCCGTAGCGATCCTTGACAATTTTTGAACATGCACAAAAATTTGCTACGGAAAAATCAACCGTAGCGTATCCCTACTAGTCCGTATTAATCCGTACTGATACGTACTGGTCCGTACGAAAACCGTAATAGTCCGTACTGATTCCTAGTCCACCAGCTTGTCAAGGATTTCCACGGTTTGGTACGGAGAACTACGTATTTGTACGGTTACCCTACGTATAAGCTACGGTTTTAATACGGATTAATACGGCATTGTCACGGAAAGCCACGATCGCAATACGTTGTACTACGGAGAGGCAAGGATTAACACGGTCTTGTACGGTTTATTGCGTTGCAACACGAAACGGTACGGAATGGTACGGCCCATCACTGTTTAGTACGGATGAATTAAGTATCATGTACTTTTTCAAGGGTATAAAATTATAAATACTACCTTCTTGTTAAAAACAGACATATATATTTGCGGGAACATTTTATAAATGATTATTGCTATTTACTGGCTGCAACTTTATATTGAAATGGCTCAGAATGCGGGGCAGTGGTCGAGCTGCTTGAGGACATGCATAGAAGTAAATTTATATTAATATCGTACTTCAATTCATAAGTAATATTTTTGAAACATAAACATCACGATAATTAATGTAATTGTAAGATGAACAGCAAATCTTAAAATAAAAAGAGAAGCAGTATTGATCAACATTTTTCATTAATGATTTCTAGTCCATATCTAATCAGGTAAGAGATGACAGACGGGATGTCATGTTTAGTATGAGGCTCTCATGGCCGAACTTGTTGAGGATTCAGCGTCCTTCAAGAAATTCACTTTTAAAATTAATTAGACCTGATGTGTCTCGGGGTTCGGACGCGATTAGGCTGAATCCTCTCTGCCAAAATCATTGAACGCTGCAATTCGTTTTCGAGGTGTTTTAAAAATGAGCAAGCAAGAGGTTGTGGATGGATGTTTTAGGTCCGTATAGATCCGTGGCAATTCGTTCTTCTCCGTATCAATACGTTCTTCTCCGTATCAGACCGTACTTATTCGTACTAACCCGTGCTTAGCAGACCGAAGTGTATCCGTAGTGCGTACGACAATCGTAGATCAAAATCGTACAAAATCGTACGCTAAGATTTCCAAAATCGTACGATCGTTGATAAGACGGGCCCCTGATTCGTGTCGCTCCGTATCAAACCGTGTCGGTCAGTAACAATCCGTGTCTCTCCGGGGGATTTTGGTGGTAAATCCGTCGGACTCCGTACTCATACCGTTGTGTGTCCGTACTGGAACCGTAGCGGATTACGGAATTTCACATTTCCGTAGTAATCCGTGAACGATTAGACCGTAGCTCTTCCGTGTCATTATCCGTGAATATGTGACCGGGGCATTAGAAACACATATATCTTTAAATGTTCCATTTTTCAAGATCAAAACCCTACAAGAAATTATTATGTCATTGTTATGCAAGCTATGCTAACATTTCTTTGACTTTACATGAAAAACACTAAGAATTATATTATGCAAGTTAACCAATTTTACTTCGGCAGGGTAGCTTTTATTTTAAAGATACTTAGTGTTTCCTTTATGTCGAAAAATAAGTTGTAAGAGGTCGGATTTAATAGGAGACCTTGGTGAGAGTTAAGTTATACAGTTAGAATAGTTAGTGGGTGGGTGGGGGTGGGTAATTGAAACTGGCTATTGTAAGGAGGTAGCTGTTGGTGAGAGGTGACCGTTAGTGGTTAAACTGTATACAGAATATCCATGTATAAAAGCCTCAGTCTATCAGAATTTTACAGCATATTGATTTTAAATATCTTTTTAGGAATACCCTATAAGGTAAATCATTAAAAAAAATAAAAATAAAAGTATAGCTATCAATACACTGATAAAACATTTAAATGTAATTCAGAAAAAGCAATAATTATAAATGATAAACGTTATATATAAAAATAATGAAGAAATGAGAACCGGGCTCAAGATTTTTATACATTTGTATAACAAACGCATGTTACTAAAAATACTTTTAGCAGGGAACCATGATGCAAAAATGTAAACATCCGGTGAGCTGATAAATACACCGGTGAACGTGGAATGCAAATTAAAGTCAAGATTTAGGAATGATCTTTGGTTAACACAGTTAATTATATTTACAAGATGGAGCCGTTATCATCCCGGAAGAGAATTCAAGCTATTGCAAGCAAGGAAAAACGTGAGCTGGTAAGAATACAGTATACAAACAATCTTTTTTTTTTATTAACATGTTTAATTTGCACTAGATACTAGATAATTCTTATTGTTTAACACATATGGTGTTTGTTCCTATTATTGAAAAGATATATACATGTAGACGATGTAAATATTCAATTATTTGTTTTGTAAATTATGTTAAGATTAAGATCTCCGATTAAACTTAAATTGAAAGTAGAACGTACTGTCCTACATAAATCATTGTACAAAATGCAATAACAAAGTGTACATGTTTACAAACTACATTCATTTCTGCATGGTTGGTTTAGTACTACGTAAACACGCGTGAGATGGTTTGACACCGAACGGTAGTTTTAGTTTAATATAAACAGTTTATATTGAAGCCTGATTTAAAACTCTGTATGGCTAAAGGGTACTAGTATATATTTGCATAAACATCAATTTATACGATTTGATAACTACTAGTACTGTCCCATAATTCCATGAGAAATTTTCAAGCCGATTTATTTATATGCTATGATTATATTTATTTCTACATTCCTTCCGGTAATTAATTCATTTATAAAATATTTATTGTACATTTTGAAATTCTTATTATTTCATAAAAAATACCTAATATCCTGGCTCTATGCAGTTTTATAAACCTTATTCAATGATCTCTGCTTATATCATATCCCAAGAACAACAACAACAACTTTTATTAATATAAGATTACAAACATGTAATAACATGACTCATATTTTTATCTTGTTTAAATATGAGTAAATAGATGGGGGCAGGCGTATACATAGGTAATAACTATGAAAATAGTTGACAAGGACCATATGTCTGTTTCAAATTTAACACAATATTATAAACTTATCTACTATCTTTTAAGATCCTGTATGTTGTAATTAAGGTTGAAAATTTTATAACTGTATATAAAATTATGCTTCTAAAACAATTTTCCGACATAAAAAAAAGAATATGTAAAATATGTACTACAAATATTTGTCCCCATTACATGTAATCATTCAAATATATACTCTTTCATTTCTTATTGAAAAAAAATTGACTCAGACTTTATAGAAAATGAATTTCTAAATACCTCCCTTTATTAACATGAAATTTCAATTCGGTAATATTTTAAAAATGATGATGATGATTACAATAATAATGTTGTTGATGATGATGATGATGATGATTACAGTAGCAAAATCAATTAATAAATTTTTAATTCGTTACTATTAAACAAAGCGTTTAAACTATGTCACATACATGGTACTTCAGAGACAGCCAATTGTAAGGTACAATCGTAATTGTAAAGTATAAAGAGTATGTAGAGTTTATCAGGGTCTTTTTTTTAATCAAATCTTGTTCACTTACTAAGTGCCCCTTATCTCTTTTTAGGAACACCAGTTATCAAAATAGCATCACTACTTCGTTCCAGAATATAGAAAATCATCATGATCATGACTGTTTACGTTGCCATTTAATTATCTGTCCTGTATTTATGTCACGAATCGATATCAATGATGTGATTGTTATTCTAAGTATGAACCTGAATATATTAACAAAATAATGTTTATTGTAAACACTTTAATCATACAGTATTATCTTAAGAAGATTATAAGCCTCAGGATCCATCGCAATATATGCTAGAATTATTTTTAAACAAGAATGTTTCACAATCATAATGCTTGAAAAACAACATCAGCAACAACAACAACACAAACAACAACTTTATGCACTTTATAAATCTTCATAATTGAGGTAAAAATATTTCTTCAATCGGATTAAATGATAGCGCAAGAAAAAGACAAATAAACTTCATTTCTTTGGGTTTTATACCTTAGAATGAAATAGAATCAAACAATGATTGTATAACATATTGCTGTATACATGTTCAATAAAAATGAGATACAAATGAAAGTATAACTTACTTTGCTCGAAATACCTTCGCTTCATGTTTTGTAATTAACCTTCCATTGTTGTTTTAATTTATATACTTTAATCGTTTTACTTACTTGTATCATAAAACACGATATTTTCATTTCAATTACGATAATCAATGCTGTAAAGTTTTTTTAGCAAACAGTACAAATAAAAACAAGGCTTAATGAATGTGAGAAACTTGATACCCTGTTACCGACTCTAAACTATCATTATTGAAAAGTTTCAAATGGGTATGTTTTACAATTGGGAAATGTAAATTAAAGATACAAATACCATATGTATTTTACATATTACATTTATACATATATACATGAATATAGAATTGTGTATAGTTGATATAACATCGCAAAGGCATGTTCCTTTTTTAGAGATTTCTTATAGTCTTCAAGTGTCGATCATAACACAATTTTATCATAACAATGTTATACGGTGATAGGGCTTTTACCAAAACTTTTCCGCGCTGCGTCAAAATATCATACGTGTCAAGTTTGCATACAACAAGAAAACAGATGATAAATTGCCTAAAACAAAAACAAAAATCATCAATTCTTTTATTCCATAGAATGTGTCATTAAATTTGAAGCTTAGTACTTATACTACATGCAAAAGTCAAGGTTGGGACATACTTTGAGATTGCGAAAATACATGTATAACGACTTTCTGAAGCGCGTCAGTTCACAAGGCTACTCGAAATGTAATATAAATATGTACATTATTGTTGTTTGATTAAGATATACCTCTTTAATGAACTGTCTTTGTATATATTCGTATTTTATGATTTTCATGTTTTCACTTGTGTACTTTTAGCCACTGTACAACTTTGTCAATAATAATATATGGACGTCGCATTATGCGTCCTTATATCACCGCATTTTTTTCTGTTCGTTTGTTTGTTGTTGTTTTTTGCTCAGTAAGGTCAGTCGAAGAAAGATCTTTTCATATGGAGTTTATGCGTTTGAAGAAATTAAAAGGAAATGTAAAAAATGACCTATTAATCTATTGAGACGATTGCACTTATCTAACTTGTATCTTTTTATAGATTAGACCTTCAAGTCTGCCATATAAAACATTTTATCAACATAACAGAAAGTGAACAGTCTTTCAACAAATAAAACTTATTTGTAACTAGATACTTCTACAGTTACTTATAAAGTAGGGTGCAAAAGAAAATCAAGCCTGTAGTTATCAATATAACGGAATAACAATACGGTGTTTGAATTTATCCAGTATTAGTGCCAATAGATCATTTTACACCATACATTCACAAAACTTGATAATAGAAACAGACACTTTGGGTGGAACTTCAATTTATGCTTAACAATTATATATACGGACTCCTGAGGTCATCGTTGTTATAGCTTAAGTTTTGTGAACCATGTTGAGGTCAAAACGACCATGTGTAAACACTATTTTTTTCAAAATATGATTTGTCTTGCGAATTGTGTTGTAAAAGATTAACGATGAAATGTTTCAAACACTTGATAGAATAATAAAAAAGATGGAATAATTTTTCAGTGTCTAGCAAAGCTATTTCCCTGCAATTCGATCATCCCGCCATTACTATCTTGTCCAGAAAGATACGATGTCTTGGTTTTGACGTTGAGCTAAAACGCCCTGTTACCGTGTTGTTATAAAATGTTATACCTTTTAAAAAAAACCAACAATTATACAATATGTTGGCACATATATAGAAACAAACGATTTTCTATATTTGCTATATTTGTTTGAAGTTTCATATTTTAGCTTTTCATGGGCGTATTACTGAGAATAATTAATATATAGCTGGAACGCTATCATAAACTTTAAACACCTGAAACTACAGGAACGATAAATTGATTAACATGCTAATACATGTATACGTAGAATGGAGCTTGAGACAATAGAACACGCCCGATATAAAACTGAGCGTGGTCATTATCAATATGGCTGTGCTGGACATCATTTGAGCCACGTCAGGACAAACCAACATAGTTCGTTTGTGGACTACAAACCCTATCTGAAAGCGAACAGCATGGATCCTGATGAGACTGCGTGGATGCGCAGGCTGGTCTGGATCCATGCTGGTCGCAAACGCATTATGTTGGTTTTGTCGTGACGTGGCTCATTTTGACTTTTCCTTTCATGGTTTGCAGGTTGAGAGATGTTTATCCCCGGAAATATTTGACAGCGCCAAACTTGAGCGTATGATCAAAACTTTTGAGGACGAGATTAAATTAGCTAACAGTACTGATGGAAACCTAAGAAAAAAGACAGATTTGTTCTGGGAAAATACATTTGTAAGAAGGCTGCTAGATGGAACAGGTTAGACAGTTTTAATTGGCTTACAGTCTTGTTATACTGTGCATGTAACATAAAATTTATTTCATAAAAGATTGATAACAAATTTTCTTAGACCTAACTTAATATGGAATTTCTAGTTTTAGAAGTATCATCCCGAAGCAGCATTAAAATAAATTTGTAAGACTTTAACGCCAAACTGAATTTAGCTAAATAAAGATCCCCCTCACACAAAAACAAACAAACACACGCTTGCACATGCGCGCACACACACAACAAACAATCCACAGCAAGTCATAATGAGTCCAGTCGGTCAAATACCATTCTTTATGCCCTCACCACTTCATATATCGCCTCAATTATCAAAGCAAGGCTTTCATCAAAGTCAAAGCAAAGATTTCATCAAAGTTCTGTGTGCTGCTGGAAATGTGTGAACAATTGTCAAGGCCTTGAAAAAAATTAACATGAAAGCCGCATGCAAAAAAGCAGGCTGATACCGATTAATATAGCTGGCCCCTAAATTTTCCCAGAAAAAGGAAGGCCGAAGTAGCTCTTGAAATTGGTTCAGTTGCAAGCAAAAAAATACTATTGATGTAATCCACAGAATCGGCAAGACGGTCGAGCCAAGTAAACAATGATGTTGGAAGGTTAACTTCATACAAAGCAAAAACTACATAATTATGTAATTGTTTTAAATGGATGAAGAAAATGAGAGGAAAAGAGACATATCTTATTTCAGTTCTTATAAAGGACACAAAAAAGACATAAAGACGAGCCAATGTCTAGTTGACTCTAAGTAATTGATGGCAATCAATTACTGACCAAACAGACCCATCATTTTTAATCAACTGCCTGGATGATGTCATCATTACCTTAGTTTACCATATAGTAGCATAAAACCGAATGTTTTTTTATCATTTGTAACTTGCCAATTCAATTAAAATGTGCATGCAAACGTTCGTACAGTGTCTTAACAAACGACCCTCAAGATGTATGTTATTAATGATCTATTCTTCTAAATCGACAAAGCTCAAAAAAGCATATCTTCAACTTTTTTAAGGATCTTAGGGGTTTTATGTACTTATTTCAAAGACTCAACTCTCTGTCAGCTTACAGTTATTCATCTTTTTTCATTAGAATGGTTAAGATGTTACAGTTGTATTCTGTAACATATCAAACAAACGTTAAATGACAAAATTCTGGCATCGTAAACTTCTTTTCAAACTTCAGACATGTGACATTCCAGGCCACCGCTGTATTCCAGGACTATCTATCAGACAACAGAAAAATGGATAAAATGTGTTTTTCTGTCTGGTGTTTTGTCTTCTTTAAAGTTTCAGCGGACGTTGAAAAGGTTTCCATCCACTTTCTTGTCTATATTAATTTGATGGAATTACTTTTTTTTAAATTTTTGTTGACAGCCCTATCTCTGCTGCTGATCATCTAAATGCAAGTCTCCATAAAGATCTTCTTATGTCTTATTCCTGGTTACTTTTATTCTATGACAAAAATCTCACTTTTCATCTCGCAAATGGAATAAACCTAAGCATGCCTCACAAATCCTCTACAAAATGCTAATAAACAATGTAACATATAACAGTCCATGATAGTATTACAAAACTTGGCGAAGAATTAATGTTTTAAGAATTCTCAAATTTTCACATCATCGTTATCACATGAAGCAATTCACATTTCCTTCATTACCCTGATTCTTGATCATGCGAATGAGGAGCGTGACATATCACTACTGTTGCATGATCAATGGCGGACCTTGGGAGGATACAATTTGAGGCGGTAACATGTTTTTTTCTTCACCGGTGCGCCTCAGATAGTCATTATTTGAGAAACTTTACAATTAATGTTCTATTAAGCATTTGCAATGTTTGAAGACTTAAACATAAACCCATGTTACTGTAAACTGTATGAAATAATTATATTATAAACGACACTAATTATCATTCAATATTGTTTTTAAATACCGCTTGATCTTGGAATATTATATAGCAGATCTATGCACGACAATCAGAAGCGAGGGTTTTTACACTTTTGAGAGATCACTTTTTTCCAGATATTTATACTTCACATCAGTAGGTGTCAAGCGCAGGGTGGTAGCCGTAAAAAGTTGCCCCGTACTTCACTTCAGTCTTGTTATATTTTTCTTGTCCTTCGGGATCCCAGTGTTGAAAAATTCATTACCACTCAAGCCGGTGCTAGGGGTTGGATGTTGCCCATTTATATTATCCCGCATATACAGACTCAATTCTCACGTAATTTTGCTGATTTTGATGCTTTCAAGGGACCTTTTTTTAAGATTTTTAAGCTAATAATAGCTTTCAAGTATTTTTCGTATTCTGACAGACTACCTGCTATGTACACAAACGTCATTTTACTTCTAAATTTTGAATATTTCTGTAAATATTTGTGTGAGCGATGTATGATCTATACATTTAAAAAAATTGAATAAATTCAGTTAAAACTAATTACAACCACCTTTGTAATTGCCGATATTTTAATATTTTTATTTTTGAAATATTTGACGTTCTTTTTCAACCACACACTGGTTTAAGACAAACCTTCTATGCGCTCTATGTCTCTTTTTTCTGTTTTTTGTTCTTGTTTGTTTTTTGTTTTTGTGTGTTTTTTTAACTGAAAGGTATATAACTTTATTAAAACATTTATGAATTTTCCAACGCACGTACATTTTTCATTTTACTTCCATTCGAAGAAAATGGAACATATCTTGGCCTGGATTTAGGCGGAACTAACTTCCGGGTTGTAAGGGTAGATATGAAGAATGGTAAAGCCGAGACACAGACCAAATACTACAACCTTGACAAAACCTTGCTGTCTGGACCGAGCTCAGTTGTAAGTGTTTCTCATTTATACAGACTATTTATTATATATCATGATCTATAATAAATATGTTTACGTTTAGTTTCAGTAGAATAATATTTAAATAATTATTTGATATTGTGCTGAAATTGAATTATATAAACTTGATACATCGAATGCTTATTATTCAACTGTTACGCATTTAGGAAATGCTAATTTTATGTCTAAGTTATTGATTTTATTGATTTTTTTTAAGCAAGCTGTTACAAGTCGTTTTACGTTACAAGTCGATTAAGATTGTACACTCCTTATACATGATCTCCACATTTAAGAGTATTTAAAGGTTAGCTGTGTAGGAATTGAGTGTTTTTTGTACAAAAGAAGTAAACACCTATTTCTTTATATGTTGTTGTTTTCCTTTAACATTATCAATGCGTCTCTCAAAACCTTTAAGAAACAAGTGTTTTATTTTAACTTTACAATTTTTATGCTGAATAAAATCTTAATTTGTCAACAAAAACTGTCGGTACCTCTAAGCGCTATAAGCAAGTTAATAGTCAGAATTGTAATACAAATGTTTACTTGGTCAAACAAGTTTGTGAAATTGGTAAGAAAGAGTAACATTATAAATATTTTTGATAAAAAGAATAATTTCTTGTATTTTGTTACGTTTATACCTAAATGTTATTATTTGTTTTGGACAAATAATAATAAAGTGGAAACATTTTTATAAGGATACTATTCATGCTGTACTTTTACTTTGTTAAGTCAATATTTTTTGTTAATTAAAGAAGTCATAAACCTTCCCAGTTTAAACACCTTATACTAATCTATGAAATGCTCATTCAAAGACGAAAGTAAGATTGTTGGTCTCTTGACTGTATTCCCAACCCTTAATTAAGATTATGAAACTTTGTTGTACTCGTAGAATTAAATATCATAGCTTTTATTACTTTCAATAAACAGTGATATTAATAATACATCAGGATTGTGACTAAACCCTTTCAGACATAAAAAATAGTTGTTTTTTTTATTGAAATAAAGCGGAAATATTCATTAATTTACAACCTTCACTTAATTTCAGATGTTTGATTATATTGCAAATTGTCTGTCTGGATTTCTGTCTGACGGAACCTTCCCAAAGGATGCTCCAATTCCTTTAGGTAAATTTGTTTGTTGAAATTTGTTTTTCTCAATGAAAACAATAACATGATGTACTATATTGGATACGTTTATGATACAAGTCCCTTAAAATACTTTAGAACTTTATGTTTGAGTTGCGTCCAAACCCTGGATAAGAAGTAAGACAGTGTTTCTAGTAGACCTCTACATTCTCTCTGACCGAATGTGTATACTTGACAATTTAGCATATATAGAATAGATAGTTACCTTTAATTGCATCGTCGGATACCCACGATTGATAAACATGTCACATAACATGCAATCAATGATAATGGTTCGGCCGTGGGTATCCGACGATGCTTTAATTGTGGCTCAAGTAGAGAAAAACAGAATCCTAAAAAAAGTCCAACACGGCAAAAATGTAAAATGAAGCATGCTCGGATTGATTGAGCCTGTTCATGGACGGCATTAGTAAGTGCAAGATACCATCCACGCTCCCTAGCACCGGCTTCAGCAAAATTAAACATTTAAACACCAAAGTCTCCCGACAAAACCAATGACCGGGAGATCGAGCACTTGTTAACTTTCATAATGTACAGTATTTTATACATGGTAACCTGAAATAGATCAACGTATCTTACACAATCCTTAAACATTTAATGACTAATAAACTAATATGATATATTAATATACTAATATAATATACTAACTAATATACTGATTGCTAAGTCCTGTAAAATATTAAAATTGTAACTAATATATTTGCTTTGATTCTAAAACGATTAAGTGATATTAAAGATCTTTGTACTCAAATAAAATCTTGGGTAGGGTAATATTCTGCTTCAGATCGTTTATGTTGATTTATTTTCGGTTCCAGGATTCACATTTTCATTCCCTTCTCAACAGAAGAGTTTGAAGCACAGTACATTGTCCACGTGGACGAAGAGTATAACATGCACTGACGGACCAGGTCTTGATTCTGTTGTACTTCTTGAAGAAGCTATAGAAAGACGAGGGGTATGATAATTTCATTGATTTCATTATATGAGCCGCGTCACGACAAAAACAACAAAGTGCCTTGTCGACCAGCATGGATCCAGACCAGTCTGCGCATCCACGCAGTATGATCAGGATCCATGCTGTTCGCTATTATTTTCTCTACTTGTAAAAGGGTTGATAAGCGAACAGCATGGATCCTGATCAGACTGCGCGGATGCGCAGGCTGGTCTGGATCCATGCTGGTCGCAAACGCACTATGTTGGTTTGTCGTGACGTAGATCATATTATGTTGACATTACTTTTATCATCTGAGGTCCTGGCGGCACTTCTTACAGTCTTTTTACTTTGACAAATAAAACTATCGGTGTGGGTTTTTTGGTGTAGATGTATGAACGTTGGTGTTTTATTTGATTTTGTATATAAAGTACATGGCACTTTCACTTTAAATGGCAAAACGTTTATTATATGATCGTAGCATTCAATTGCCATAAGCTTGAATTAATCTAGAGTCTTATTAATCATGTTTATTAGAAAATATGGTGTATTTATTTATTTTGATTATAGCTAGCGTACATCTATTAAGCTTTGATATCACTATGGCCAACTCTAAATTATTAGTTCGTATATTTAGCATTTAGGAACACATTTTTTGAAAACTAAATGTGTAGCATTGATTTGCTAAGATGATAAGAAAGAGTTATCTAAATGTGAAATAAAATTTGAAAATACATTGTACATGTATGTTCATAAATAAATCAAATATGTTATGGCATGTGTCAATGACAAAGTGTGTGAAAGAAAATAATAAATGAAAAATACGATCTACATAACTCTTATCAGAAATAATATGCCTTAAGTAAAAACTATTTGATTTAAGAATAACTCTACAAATCTGATATTTCAGAGTCTGCCAGTACCAGTTGACGTTTTAGCAAGGATAAGTGATACAACGGGAACACTTTTGGCGGGAAATTTAGTTGACGATAAATGTAGAATAGGTCTTATTATAGGTAATTAACAGTTTATTTAGAGGGCATATATCATTAACAGGTAATCACGAAGTATGAACAAAAGTGATGGTTAAATTATTGACAGTGTTTTTCGGATGAAATTTCTCAGATTAAATTCCAATGTATCGGTGTCCTTTCGATGTACTTTCTTAACGTTCATGTCATCGTTTAATCTAATACATTATGGCGTTATGTGTAAAATATTTAAATCTGAAGCTAACGTCCATAATGAAAGTGTTATTTTTGGTTTAAATTGTTGGTCATAAGCAATGTTCGTCACCTATAATTGAACTTATCTTTTATATAACATTTGCTATTAAACGCTCGTACTTGGCAATTTTCGTATTTTGTACCAACATATACTAGTCAACTTTTACTGAGCACCAAATGTTTTATTGTGAATATTTTCAGCATTGATTTAATTACTGTCGTCTTACAAATAATTTTAATTTCAATTTCATGTTTACTCAATTTGATTGAATGACAGATTTAACAATTTTTACTGATTTTGCATAAGTGTTGTTAGAAAATATGAGACCCCCATATCCAAAATTCATAGACACGGAACGTTTTTTTCCCCAAGTTTTAACAGCCTGATTTTTGTTAAAAAGTTCTCAGTACATGTATGTGACCAGTTGCTAAAGATAACTGTTTGGCAACACCTTCTTATGTTCTACGATTTGATTAAGTTTCTGACAGTCATAGGAGGGATGACGAACTCATTCTTGTACAAAAATTGTCTGAAGGTCTAATTAGCTAATATCTGCCCTGCTGCTGATTGCACATATGCAAAATTAGATTCAGGTCGGTGATCGAGCAGGCCCTCTGTAGATGGGATTGGGTCTGTGGAGACGCATATTATTGTCCAACTGATCGCTCACTGTCTGGGATACAGCCTAACCTAGGTTACACAGGGTGCTTGCTTTCCTTGACCTCATAGTCGCTTTTTAAAATGTAGTGAGAAACTTTTGGTGCAAAGCAGAGTATGTTTGGGTAAAAATAAAGTTTGTGTTTGATATAATTTTCTTGATCCCGGAATAATTCTTGCTTATTTGATCTTAACAAGGTTGACGTAAATAACTACATAGGCGAAACATTCGACATAATTGTTTACCAATAACAGTTATTTGATACGATATTCTTATTTAAAGTGAAATTATACTCATTCTTTCGCTGTTAAGATGAGTTGAATTAGTAATATATTTCAAGAGATTGGCTTTTATAATGGTGATTGATCAAAAGTTGATATCAAATGATATTTATGATACAATGGATATTGAAAAATATTTAAGATACAAACTAAAACGACCTACCAGTATATTATAAATTGGCTGTCCCACTTTTTTATGAATTGAACTCTAAGCGATATTAGAAATTTCGGGCATGTGGATAATTGATAATTTGTTTTTAATCAAATATAAAGTCTAACACATGAATTGCAAATTTCGAGTTAATTTGATATTAACCTGTTCACATACCATTGACATTGGATTGGCATGACTCTTTAACACTTCAGTAAGGGAGCTCAATTGATTAAAGGAAAATTGGTAACATTTAGTGAATAGTTGTAATGTGTCAAGATATTGTCTTTATTTTAGGTACAGGGTCAAACGCAGCTTTTGTAGAATATAAAGATAATATAGAAAAATGGGATTCTTGTTACAAGGACGATGATCCGTCAGATATAGTAAGTTCTTTTGATACCCACGTTGTCGTCTGCAACTAGTATATCTAATTATGTTCGTTAACAATTTCATTATATCTCCTGTGTACGGATTTTATTTGAACTATCCGATTTTGATCTAACGGATTACTTTTGACCACGCAGCCATAACTACTGTATCTCTTTTATTTTTATTTTTGTTCATTTACTTTTAATTCCGTCGAATTGTGTCCATTTTATTGACAATTCTGTTAAAGTATTTTCCAATTATTTAACATGTGCTCCTTGTTGGAAGAACTTTTTGTCACAATTTATAAGTTTTGATTATCTGTCAGACAGTATACTGCCTAATGATAATCATTTTAACGTTATATCTACATACGAAACAACGAGGGATGTTCGATTTAGTTCAAAACTGTGTATCTACATAAAATTACTATAAGGTATTAAAAGATACTTAGTTACTGGCACGATGCGTGATTTACGGTCCTGTAGAAGAAAAAAAACGTATACAAATATTCCATATATAGATATCCCTTATACAAATATCCCGTATACAAATATCCGGTATCGTGCCATTGACTAACCCTGTAATGAATACAAACGCTAGCATATTGCTCATCGTCATCTAAAAGGACGAACTATAAACGTGCTATTGAAAACCGACGGTTCTGGCGGCAGTTTTCAACATATTGACTCTTGTAGACTTGTAACACCGCACTTTGCGTTAATATGCTACTTATCAACGTACTTTGGGTTCAAGAGGTCTAAAGGTGTTATCTGAGTTCTGCTTAAATACTGAGTACTGACTTATTTTCTATCTGCGACATTGGAATATTTCAGGTGGAGTTCAAGATGGCGGTCAATACTTTATGATGCTTAAGTGATAAAAGTTTCATTAATTTTACCACTTGAAATATCTAAAAATTGTGTTCATATAATGAAATTACGGTGGCATAAAAGTAACATTTGCATTTTTTGTTTTTAGTTTTGTATACATATTTTATTTCAGTTTTGCATTCATATTTTTTTCAGTTTTGAATACATATTTTTTTTTAGTTTTGCATTCATATTTTATTTTTGTATTTCGTACATATTTCATTTTTGTTTTTCATACATATTTTAGCCAATCAAAACAGCCTTCAAATCGCATAACAGGCCATAGTTGAGTATAAAACTAGCATAGTGGTTTGGTCACATTTCGGCCCATTTCTGGAATCGCCCCAGTCGTTTTCGGTCGGGCAAGTCTGGTTTCGGCCGACCCTTTTCGGCCCATTTTTTATATTATATGTATTTTATATAATTATTGTTTATTATTATTATTATCCCCCGCCGAAAAGGCCGAGGCTTTTTATGGGAAATCTTACATACTTCTTTAAAAAGAGCAAATATGAATTTTATAATGTTAAACTAATGGTATCAGAGAAATGTAAGATGCTTGCTCCCTGCAATAAAGTAGCGATACATATAAAATTGTTTGTCATAAAAGAAGTCAAAACAATGAAGTATTTGACTTCCATATAATATAATACTAATACTCATCATTGCCAAAAAGCAACACATGAATAAGATGGTTCAGGTAATTGGCCAATGTGTATTTTTTTGATAATATAGAAAAACATCAACATGGAAAAGCTTTATAAATGTAAAGAATAAATATAAAAACGTTATTTATAACCCTCGGGGGGGGGGGGGGGGTCGATATCCCAACAATCCCCTCTATACCCCCAATGAGAATTTTACATTATTCTGAAGCTCCGCTCTTAATGTGCGACTACTTAAATAGTTGATATTTTTAGTACTGCCTGCACGGACTACTACTTAAAGCCGCATCTACACCTAATCAAGTTTCTTACATGTCACATTTAGCTAAATAAATGGCTCTTTCAACATACTATCAGGCACATTTTCTACTGAAATGTCTTCTAAGATTTCCCAGAATTTATACCTTTGTCTATGCTAAGACTATCATATTTCTGTATAATGTGTAAATAAAAAACGGGAAGATAATGCATTTAGCTAAAAACAATGGAGTAAATGAAAGGTGTACATTCTTTTGAAATAAATGGAAAATTTGAGAAAAAATATTTTAAGTTTTATAATTGATACAAATTCTTTATTTGGTGAAAGTTCTTCACTTACAAATAAAGGACATTTAAATCCCTATCGATTCTACTATAATTCAAGGCTAATGTTTGTGTCTATTAAATACCTTGATTTTTTGTTCAACACTCGCTTTGACTTAAAACATAATAAACATTAATTTTTTATGACCCCAAAGTGCGGTCGTTTGCCTTATGTTAAAAATGCATATGTACCCGTTTAACGCACTTTGGGTCGAAATTGGACCACAAAGTGCGTAACGCACTCTGGGGTCCGACCCCAAAGTGCTTTTGACCCCAAAGTGCAGTGTTACATAGCCTGAACTCGGATATATCACGTCACCATGTAACGTCAAAACATCCAATCAGAGAAAAGTATTTTGTCGGCTGCATAGTATATTTCCATAGGATCATTTAAATTTGAATATTCTGTGTAAATGATTAAAAAATTAATGATTCTTAAAAACAAATGTTGGACATTAGTTTCCATATTAAAATGATTGTCAATAATTTTGTTAACAAGAGATAATTTTCTTTGGTGGCTATGTTAACGAAAATGTTTATCGGTATACCATAACCTTATTTTTAATTGATCCTTAACAATGTTAAGCTTATCATTTATACATGTTTAATTGTCAAATCAACGCCAATACGGACATAATTTAATAGTGCCAGGGAAGGTGTCGCATACATGCATGTGAAAAAAGGATATAAAATAGTTAAGGAAAAAGAGATCTTAAATTCACGCTCTATTAAACTGAGTGTACTGCGTCAATATATATTTTAGGCCATTAGAATTGTACTAATTTCTGAACTATAATTTTTATCAAAGATATTTCATATTAATTGAAGAGCCATATAGGGACTCTAAAGACTATATTTGTAGAACTTAATTTAGAATTTAAAAGTAAAGGTAAAAATAAATTTTCAAAAGATTTTAAATTGAGTCTGGATGTCTTTAATCTAGTATGAAATAAATTCGAAAAAAAATCTACAAAGCATTCACATTATACACAACAACATATACACATTAAAACAATCCAAGATTTTCATAGAAATATATGTCGCACATTTACATAGTACAATTCTACAATAATGACGGTCAACTAAAGGCACCAAATAAAAAAAAATAATATCTAAAAAGCACGATACTAATAATCTTGTCCATCTGGCTGTTTGCATGAGCTGATGCTTAGGTATAAGAAATATTGCTTTTTCCTTTGTCACTCATATACATAATAAATAGGGTTGAGTCTTTGATTTTAATTTTGTTTTCATTGTTCCGATGGCAATTATCTTTTTGATAATTTAAAACCACTAATAGAAACAGTTATATGAAAATGTCATGCACATCAATGCTGTGAATATTGACCTTTCGGTCATTACACACGATGACAGTTTTACTGCTATAATTAGTCACATTTTTTTTAGTTTAGAACTGTCAGGTGGTGCCTTCTATCACATTATATTTGATTAATACTAACACGAATTTGTCTAAAGGTATTGTTTGCACGCCCCTTAAATTGTTCAACTGATAATAGATTTATGACGCCTTTTTAAATTGCTTAGACCTTACAATTACAGAATTTGCGGGCAGGTGTAACATTAAATAATGGTTCGATACCATTTAAGTAAGCTTAAACAAAAATAACTTTCTAAATTAGGTATCGTATTTTACCAGAGTCGTGTAAAGAAACTGATCTTTGTGTGTATGTTTGTTTGTTTGTTTGTTTCATTTTACGCCTTTTTCCAACAGTATTTCAGTCATATAGGCGGGTAGTTTCCTAACCATCGTTCCTGGAGAGTTACACCAGTACTAGACTACCTTCCTCCGCGCTAAACTACCAAAGCATCTCCCGGGGATCGAACCCACGCCAGAGAGGTAACTGGAATAGAAGTCATCGACTCTAACCCCTCGACCACGGAGGCGGTCTTGTGTGTATGACATTAAAAAATTGTTATATTAAAGAATAGATAATTGAAAACGTTATTGTCTTGTTTCACAAGCTATAATTTGAAATAATTATGCTGTCTGTCAGTTTCTTCAAATATCTGTGATTTGTTAATTATACAAAAGGTATTTTAACGTATTCTAAAATTCACGATAATTTATAGTAAGTGATTATCAGAAAATGTTCTTGATCTTTGTGTGAGTTTGTGGCTATTTGCTTTTTATGGAAGATGTAATTGGCAAGCTAACACCCTACTTTAATACGAAGTGACATACATATTTGTGTGGACTTATTTACAGACCAATCTGTTAAGTTCTATTTTGGATATGCCTTTCTATAGTTCAACTGCTGAGGACATCATTTCTTTTAGATATGTTTGCATATTTAATTTGCATTTTTAATTTGCCCAGGATTTTTTTGTAAATAATACAAACTGAGTGTTATTATAAATAAACTGAAATTATATTGTTTTGCAAGCTTATTGAATGAAACATTTGTATTCGAGCAAAGTTTACTTCTTCTACTTATTAATGTAAATAAGTGACAGTCTGAACAAAATGTCAGTATAAAAATATGTTTTAATTAAACTTTTAAAGCCAAATGTTTTAACTAACTCATTGCAATTTCTTTAAATATCATCTTATAACCATAAAAGTATCAAACATAATTTGTCGTCCATGCATCATAGATGGAGATTTTGTTATGTTTAATTTCCTAAAATTTTAAATATATAAAGAGTATATTTATAGGAACATTATGATTTAATTACTTTCGAATATTTGTTGTTATATGAATAAAACTAGAAATTTTACTTTCGACGATATACTGTTTTATGAACAAAGCGAAAAATTTTACTTTCGAAAATATATCGTTATATGTAGAAAACGAGAAGTCTTATTGTCGAAGATTTATCGTTATTTCAACAAAACGAGAAATTTTACTTTCGAAAATAATTCGTTATATGTTACACAAAACGCGAAATCTTATTGTCGAAGATATATCGTCATTTGAACAAACTAGAAATTTTACTTTCGACGATGTATCGTTTATGAACAAAACGATAAAAAATCCTTTAAAAGAAATATCGTTATATGAACAAAACAAGAAATTTTACTTTCGACTATATATCGTTATATGAACGAAACGAGAAATTTTTACCTTCGAAGATACATTCTTATATGAACAAAGCGAGAAAATTTACTTTATAAGATATCTGTATTTGAAAAAGAAAGAAATTTTACTTTCGAAGATGTATCGTTATATGAACAAAAATTTAACTTTCGTTGAACAAAATGACAAAAAATGAGAAAAACAAACTTTTAAAGATACATTGTTATATGAACAAAAAAGAGACCTATTACTTTCGAATACACTTTTTAATTAAAATGAGAAGTTTTGCTTTTGAAAATATATTGTTATGATAATTTTAAAAAGTTTCTCGAAATATAATTATATTTTACAATTTGTATAGTATGTCATATAAACCGCGAAGAACCGGAGTACGCATAATAGCGCACCAGGTCAAATTTTTCTCATTCTGGCTTTATTCTCGCGTATATCCCGTCAGCGACTTGAATAAGTAATAAATAAACAAAATGAAAACTTTTTATGACGATAATACATATGAACCGCGCCACGACAAAACCAGCATAATGGATTTCCAACCAGCATGCATCCGCGCAGTCTGATCAAGATCTATGCTGTTCGCTATCAGTTTCTCTACTTGGTAAACGAACAGCATGGATCAGACTGCATGCTGGTCGCAAACCCATTATGCTGGTTTTGTCATACGCGGCTCAACTGTTAATTACAGGTGGTGATAAACTGTGAGTTTGGAGCATTTGGTGACAACGGTTGTTTAGATTTTATGAAGACAGAGTTCGATCATGAATTGGATAAATATTCAAACCATCCATCTTCTTACACGTAAGTTTATAGGAACATTGTATCATAGTTTGGAGACCTTTCTGTTGAAAATGTGTCAGGGTTAAATCGTATACATAAACATGCTCAGTGCGTTAACTGGAGTGCGGGTATTAGTTACCTGCACTCCAGAGCATGCCCATTGACTGGCTCATTTTTGCTGGGGTTTACATATTGTGACGGCAGAGAAAGGTAAAGCGACAGAAATGTCATATTCAGAAGTTCGTTCATTGGTTCATTTTTGCCGGGGTTTCATATTGTGACAACAGGGAACGCGCTTTTATGTTTGACTATGATACAAAAGAGAAAGAACACCAAAACACTCGGCAATCTGATTAATACTCGGGGGCTACGCCCCCTCGTACAAATCAGATAGCCTCGTGTTTCGGTGCTCTTTCTATTACTAATAACTGATCGAATATTGAATGGGATATTTGTTTTATTTTAGTAACAGAACAGATACATGATCGAACATTGTACTGGAGAGAAGTCCGATTAGTTTCAGTATGAGTGTTACTGTCATGTCGGCGTTGCCGTTCCTAAAACTTTTAACGTTGTTCATTACTTTTTAAGTTCTTGGTGCATTGTATTCATACATCCCTTCAAGTAGACCAGATTAAACTGGACCATCATTCATAAATGACCTTGTCTTTCAAGGTAAATTTCTACTGCTTTTTTGTCTATAAGTGGCTATACAGTAACTTTGTTATTATACCCCACCACAAAATGTGTCTGTGTGTGTGTGGGGGGGGGGGCTATAATGGATTCGCTTTGTCGCGTCGGTCGGTCGGTCGGCCGCCCGTCTCCATTTTCGTGTCCGCTATATAACTCCTATAACAATTGAAGGATTTTCTTCAAACTTGGCTCAAATGTTCACCTCAACAAGGGGATGTGCAGAACCCATGTTGCTCATGTGTCAGCTCAAGGTCAAGGTCACAATTGAAGGTCAAATATCAAATACAATCAAATATAAGACAGCATGTTGTGTCCTCTCTGTAAGTCCTACACTAACTGAAAGATTTTCTTCAAACTTGGCTCAAATGTTCACCTCTACAAGGGGATGTGCAGAACCCATGTTGCCCATGTGTCAGCTCAAGGTCAAGATCACAATTGAAGGTCAAATATCAAACAATCAAATATTAGACAGTATGTCGTGTCCGCTCTGTAAGTTCTACACTTTTTGAAAGATTTTCTTCAAACTTGGCTCAAATGCTCACCTCAACAAGGGGATGGGCAGAACCCATGTTGCTCATGTGTCAGCTCAATGTCAAGGTCACAATTGAAGGTCAAATATCAAACAATCAAATATTTCACAATATGTCGTGTCTGCTTTGTAAGTCCTACACTAATTGAAGGATTTTCTTCATACTTGGCTCAAATGTTCACCTCAAGACCCATGTTGCCCATGTGTCAGCTCAAGGTCAAGGTCACAATTGAAGGTCAAATATCAAACATAATCAAATATAAGACAGCATGCCATGTCCGCTCTGTAAGTCCTACACAAACTGAAAGATTTTCTCCAAACTTGGCTCAAATGTTCACCTTTTCAAGGGGATGTGCAGAACCCATGTTGCCCGTGTGTCAGCTTAATGTCAAGATCACAATTGAAGGTCAAATATCAAGCACAATCAAATATAAAACAGCATGTCATGTCCGCTCTGTAAGTCCTACACTAACTGAAAGATTTTCTTCAAACTTGGCTCAAATGTTCACCTCAACAAGGGGATGTGCAGAACCCATGTTGCCCATGTGTCAGCTTAAGGTCAAGATCACAATTGAAGGTCAAATATCAAACAATCAAATATTAGACAGTATGTCGTGTCCGCTCTGTAATTTCACACTTTTTGAAAGATTTTCTTCAAACTTGGCTCAAATGCTCACCTCACCAAGGGGATGTGCAGAACCCATGTTGCTCATGTGTCAGCTCAATGTCAAGGTCACAATTGAAGGTCAAATATCAAACAATCAAATATTTCACAATATGTCGTGTCTGCTCTGTAAGTCCTACACTAATTGAAGGATTTTCTTCATAATTGGCTCGAATGTTCACCTCAGCAAAGGGATGGGCAGAACCCATGTTGCCCATGTGTCAGCTCAAGGTCAAAGTCACAATTGAAGGTCAAATATCAAACAATCAAATATTACACAGTATGTCATGTCCGCTCTGTAAGTCCTACACTAATTAAAAGATTTTCTTCAATCTTGGCTCAAATGTTCACATCAACAAGGGGATGTGCAGAACCCATGTCACCCTTTTGTCGGCTTTAGGTCAAGTTCACACTTGAAGGTAAAAAATTGAGTTCGAAAAAATTCTTTAATTTTAACATGTACTTGATTATTTCTGAAACTAGCACAGTTATATGCTTGAAACTTAGAATATATATGAAGTGTCACAATTAAGATATGCTGGTCAAGTTTCATAACTCTGTATTGCTTTTTAACAAAGTTATGCCCCTTTTTAAGTCTTGAATTTACATACAATCAAATATTAGACAATATATTGTGTACGCTCTATAAATCCTATACTAATGGAAGAATTTTCTTCAAGCTTTACTCAAATGTTCACATCAACTAGGTTATGTGCCGATTCCATGTCACCTTTGTGCCGGCTAAAGGTCAAGGTCATACTTGAAGTTCAAAAATTTACTAAGAAAATATTCTTAAATTTTAACATGTACTTGATTATTTTTGAAACTAGCACAGGTATTTGCTTGAAACTTAAAGGATATATGAGGTGTCACAAATAAGATATATTGGTCAAGTTTCATAACTCTGTATTGCATTTTGACAAAGTTTTGCCCCTTTTTAAGTCTTTAAATTTACATACAATAAATACTAGACACTATGTTGTGTCCGCTCTATAAATTATATACTAATGGAAGGATTTTATTTAAACTTTACTCAAATGTTCACTCCAACTGAGCGATGTGCAGAAACTATCTTACCCTTGTGCCAGCTTAAGGTCAAGGCCACACTTGAAGGTCAAAATTGACTTATAAGATGTTAAGTACATTGGGAAAATGAAAGGTTATTAGTAACTGTTTCGAACATGATTTGATAATATATATCTATACTATTACCTGTACAATTAGTCTTTTTTTCACCAAAGATAATTTCTTTTTATGTATTTTTGCCAATTAAGTTATTCCCTTAACCACCTTTCCAAGTTGTCTTCTGTCAAGGACATTGGTGGGGGTATGAATCGCATTCAGCAATAGTTCTAGTTTTTTGATGGATTGTCTTCAACCTTGAACACAAGAATTTATAAGATAAGACTCTTAAGTTGGCTAGACAGACCTTGACCTTCATTCAAAAATGACATTGATTTGAATAAAGGTCAAAAAAAATTAAAATTTTTTTAAATTTTTTTTGTAACTGGCTTTTTAAACTTTGTTACCCCAAAAATTGGATTAACTTCAGATAAAGGGTACAGCTTTTTTAATAACTTTTGTTTAAATAAAAGTGCCCCTTAGCCCATTAATGCCCTTTAAATATAAAGGGGTGAAACTTTTTTTTTTTAACATTTTTGGTATAATTGACGTTACTTTGAAATTAATAAATAGATTATTTTTAAAATTTGGGAAACAAAGCTCCCTTTTGGAAAAAAACCTTCTTAAATGTTGTAAACCTTGACAGTAAACTTAAATTTTTTTTGACCTTAAAGGGATCAAATTTTTTTAATTGAAAGGTCAAAATTTTTTTTTTATGTGGGGTTTTGGGTTGATTTTTTTGGCCCAAAACAAGAATTTTTTTCCACACAAACAAAATTGAAAAAATTTAATAATGACCCTTGAACTTTAATTTAACTCGACCGTTTATGTCAAATTAATGAAAAATATATATATGGAAATGATGAAAATAAATCAAACCAAGAAGATTATCGAATAATGAACTATACTTTACATAATGTTTAAAGTTTATAGTTTCTAGGGGGGAAAAGCTTTCCTAAATTGAGAGTCGTAGTATTTCTTGTAAAGCAAAACATCGCCAAATGAGTGCAACCAATTTTTAAAAATATATCTAAGGAGTTTTTTTAGAAATGTTTGAATACTAATACTTTGACACGGCAAGACTGATTCATTTCGTTATTTAATCATATATTTTAATCACCTTTTTTCTACACAGATTCCTAGATTTTGTTCAGTTTAATAGAATATTTGCATATGTAATTGTAGGAAATATGCATATCGTAGTAAATTAATTAAAACATCTAACTGAAAATGGGTTATGAGAGTCATTGTATTTTCAGGTTTGAGAAGCTTTATGCGGGACATTATCTCGGTGAGCTAGTTAGACTTGTACTTGTGAAACTAACGTCTGCGGGTGTGTTATATGGCGGGAAAGGCTCGGACAGCTTAATGACACGGTGGAATCTTACCACCAGCCATGTCACTGCAATAGAACGGTATTGTTATAGAAACAGATATTTCATTAAAACTGAACATATACATTTAAAACGCTTACCCTGACATATTATCCAAGAATATTTATTACGATATTTTATTCGTTTTTAGCTCGACCATTCAAAGAAGAACATTGTATGTAACCAACAAACGGCGTCATTTTATAAACAACAATAACAACTACTTTATTTGCAATCAGGTCACATAAAATGCAACATGATCAAAAAGGCTGTTCTAATAGTGGGCGTTTCAATTATATTTTCAAACTATATCTAATCAAACAGTATGACTAACTTTAACCATAATGACAGTTTCATATTAAGTAACAAATGGGGACAGTGGTTTTCGTACAAGATACATACAGCGTTTATAATTGGCAGTAAGTTTGTTTTTTCTTTGTGAATGAAGTATCTTCACGTAGTAAAACAAACTAAATAAGGTAAATGTTTTGGAATGGTTAAGAACATTGTAACTATGGTACCATCATTAAGCTAAATTTTAAAAGAAAGGGGAAAATAGTAATGTCACTGGAACGTTCGGGATTTGTATATCTTGTTAGTTCAGTCGCTCCCTCACCAGCTGGTGATTATAGGCGCGGCATCATTTTATCATTAACGCAATATCATAATTTGATCCAACCAGCAGGAATATTATTGACAACGTTTACTTCTTTTTAACTCTGGTTAGTTGCTAGGTTTGGAATATGATCAGTAAAACAAAATTTGACCATCCAGCTAGTTCTATAATAACATATCAGTTTGTTTTAGTTTAGTTTTATGACCATTGTTGATAAGATCGTGACAAACATATATGACCTCGCATCATGTACACACTGGCCATTAGGCTCGCGAAAAAAAATGTGATTTCAGTTCTAGAGTTACAGAAAGGCATTCGGTTATATTGAATAAGTATAACTTTTAACATGTTTGTTACTATTATGAAACATACGTAACCTACATGGCAAATTTTGAAAATACTTGTATTAGTTAGGATACAATAAGTCACAGGCCTAAGTTTCATGTCAAATGATAACAGCTAGTGGAAATTTCTGTTATTTGACACTTAGGATAGAATGAGAAAGAGAGGGAAAAACATACTCTGTAAGTAATCAAGAATATAAGCATACTAGTACTATTAAAAGCTCAGAAAGAAAATTCCCTCCTTCCAGGATAAGGGGATCCCTGTATGAAGTAAGAAGCGAGAAAGATACACTTTGATCTGTAAAAACAAAACCAAAAGATCTAAAAAACGCTTCATTCTTACTTACTTTTACAAGAAGAACAATTCGACCTACCAGTCTTCATTTTCTTTTGCGTTTTCATTTCTCAACAATTAGCGTTGACGTCACTGTTGTTGTTAGATTATACAAATGAGCCGTGTCACGACAAAACCAACGTAGTGTGTTTGCGACCAGCATGGATCCAGACCAGCCTGCGCATCCGCGCAGTCTGATCAGGATCCATGCTGTTCGCTATCAGTTCCTCTACTTGTAATAGAGTTGGTTAGCGAACAGCATGGATCCTGATCAGACTGCGCAGATGCGCAGGCTGGTCTGGATTCATGCTAGTCGCAAACGCACTATGTTGGTTTTGTCATGACACGGCTAAAATTTGTTTTAGTTGATTGCGTTGGAAGACCCTGTTGGAATCCATAAGCTATAGTGTATATAATTTGTTTTTAAGTGATACCGACGCCGACACTTCTAACACTGTATCTGTTTTGAAAGAGATGAACCTGATGGATGTTTGTTCTGATGAAGATATTTCGCTAACCCGAGAAGTTTGTGAGTTGGTTTCAAAAAGAGGAGCTTATATTGTTGCAACAGGTACGATTAGCATGCCGTCGACTTGTATAAAATTCCCCTTACGCATGCGCGTAGTCGCCATTAAATACACACGCGTTTCCGGTTCTTGTATGATGTGATAAGTCAAACAAGGGCTCATTGATGCACATCTGACCGATGTTTCTATTGACAGACTAAATTATAAGATCCAAACACACCTCAAGATATAAGGTACAACATAACTTAGTTCAAGGATACAAAACAGCTTAGATTACAAAGTTCATCACACCTCTTTGATGTAACACCTTTCATCAAAATGTTTACAAATGTTGTAAATAAAATATAATAGAAACATTATTATGTAACAGCCTGTATATGTGAAAGCTATAGAAGTGTACTTTAACTAACAAAGCCTTATAGTACTGCAATGATATCTTAATATAAACAACAATTCTTATTTATGATTACTTTGTACACTTGACTTTCCCTTTTTTTTGGTTTAACACCACCACTTGTAAAGTAAATGGTTTTCAATTTGTCTAAAGTTAAATTAGGTTTCATTTGGCATTTTTAAAAGAAGGTAATATTACAGTAAATGGATTATTTGATATTCTGAACAAAACAGAAGTTTTTCCAGATGACCATAATGCCTGTTTTCGTCTGAAAAATTGTATTGTTTATATTTTTATCCTTAACTTTTCCACCAATAACCGGAAACACTCTTAAGGGTAAAACAAACTGTTTCTTTCATTTAAAAGGGGATTGTTTAACTGCTATCTCAAAAGGTCATTTATTTGATAATATTGTATAATTTCTTACTTTTTAACCCCGACAAAAGATTTTGAACTCATTCTATCAAACCTAATAAGCCTAGTCATTGCTTATGAAAATAATATCATTTAATCACCCAGCAATGGTTGTACTACTAAATCATATAAACTTACCGGAAGTGACGATAGCTATAGACGGGTCACTCTACGAACATCATCCGAAATATCACCAACATATGATGGATGTTATTAAAAAATGGAGGCCTCAGACCAAGGTACCAGTATTCAAATGAGCCGCGCCATGACAAAACCAACACAGTGCGTTTGCAACCAGCATGGATCCAGACCAGCCTGTGCATCCGCGCAGTCTGATCATGATGCATGCTGTTCGCTTACAAACTCTATTACAAGTAGAGAAACTGATAGCGAACAGCATGGATCCTGATAAGACTGCGCGGATGCGCAGGCAGGTCTGGATCCATGCTGGTCGCAAACACACTTTGTTGGTTTCGTCATGGCGCGGCTCAAATATTTATCCAAATTTTTACACGATCAGAAATCTGTATTTGAATATTTAATATGTTGTTAATTTCCTTTGATTTTATGTTCCTTTGAAGAAAATACAAAGTTCTTATCTTGTATTTTACAAGACACGAACTGATGCATATGTTAAGCCTTGTTATATGCTTATGATTTAGGACATACTTTAATATACAAACAATGTTGATTTTGAAGGAAAGTGTTGTTTCTCATTAGGTTTAAGAGCCGAAACTGACTGCTTTATATCAACAAACGTCTTTGAAATTAAAAGAAGTAATGTTTTTTGCTGAGGATTGTAATTAAAAATAAATTGGTCACTTATACCTAAACATAATATAATTGCCATGAAAATTGAAATTGTAATTAAGATATGTTTCTGTTTCAAGATCATTTTAACTGATCTTACTCGGATGAATCTTATATTTTAAAGATGTCAAAATATACAAAATAAGAAAATCTTCTTCATGTATTTTTTCAGACAACCATAAAACTTGTAAAGGATGGTAGTGGACAAGGGGGTGCCCTGGTCGCAGCAATTGCACGGAAATCACATGCTCGTTAGGAACACAATAAGAATGAAATTTCACTTTTAGAAATACTTTAATTAGATTTGTTTGGATTATAATCAACTACGCAATGGTTAACCTTTATTCATTTTGTTTAATGACATTAAAACTAAACGATTCTTTGTATACATATATATATATATTCGAGATTGTTTTAATTAAAAGTATTAAAGGTTAAATAAATGTTTATTACTTTTTATTGCCCACATGTTCTTATTGTTTCGAAGACTACCGAGGAACGTATTTGATATGAGTGTTGATGGTAAATGGAATAAATAAAAAAGATTTATCTGTCAACATAGAGTTACGCCTTGGCTTAGGGAGGATAGATGTTAACGTGTCTGCCTGTCCACCCAGGGATCTTTGGTTCAAGCTTGATTGGCTCATAAGCATTTCCTCAATGTGCCACCAGCACTGAAGTTGTGATTGCGCCAGACAGAGAGTGGTTTGAATAAGTTGAAAGTATTCTTCACAATGGAGCGAAAATAAAATATTGATATTGCTTTAAACAAAACCATGAATTAATATACATAACATAGCTGTGTCAGTAAAGTTCTGTATGTGGGACTGTATGTTTGTACTTCAATAAACTATGAACCAATGTTGAAGTTTTCATTTACATTTTATTTCCAATGTCAAAAATGGTGTTGACATGTTAAACAATACTGACATTGAGATGAAGAATCTGTTTTTGAGCTTTGTAAAAGTTCTAATGATTTTATTTGCAACCCAATCACAATGACACTTTTCACATGTATTTAACAAGAGACTAACACACACTACAATTGAGTTGCTCCGCTCCTTTATATTGTTGTACATTTTTGTATTATATAAAGTTTCAGTTATATTATAATTGATAAGTCGACATTTATTTTCTGTGCTAAGCCCTAATTCGCCTTTCTTGAAGGGTTTTATCCGCATCTGTGACAGTTTTTTCGCATACAGTTATGAAAGAAATTAAAATGTGCCCCAATATGTAAATTGGACATCAATAATATATACACAGGCTGTTTCTATATTTTGACATGTGATCTGTGTGGATGTTAATACATCTCCTGACAATTAAAGTGTCTAGGGATAGTTTTAATGACTTTACTTGAACACTTTACCAGAATTTACCTTTTAGTACTTTAAGTTTTCTTTACTTTTAACCCGATTCTTTGAAACCTTACTTTCTATGTAAGTGTCAAATGACCAAATGTTTGTCCTATTGTAGTAGAAAATATGCGCCTTTTTACAAAAAGTCGGTGGTGTTTGAATTCTCGGATTCATATTCACTATTTCAACTTTATGAATTCATAGCAATTTTAAACAAAAGAATTCATCAATTCACGATTTCAAGGCCATGAATTCAATATTTCGACTTTGTGAATTCACGATTTCAACTTCCCGATTTCAACTTCATGATTTCACGTCTTGAACATCACGATTTCAACTTCATGAAGTTTAAATCTTGCATTCGTGAAAATGAAATGTTGAATTCGTGAATTAATGAAGTTTAAATCTGGAACTCGTGAATTCCGAATGTTGACAACGTGAAACTTGTGAATTCACGAAGATGAAATCGGGTATTCATGAAGTTGAAATGTCCCCATCGGTCTTTCGTACCTTTTCCTTTATTTAAGCGGTTACCTGGAGTGAATTATCAAATTTGGTTGACCAGCTCATTTAACAAATCAAATAATAATACATATCAACGTAATAATAATGACTTAATCAAGATAACCCTTTAAACAATATCTTTTAATACTTAAAAGTGGTGGGAAGCTAGCATCAACCAATGTTTTATAGAGTTTAAACATAGAGATTACTGAAACTGTTTAAGTTCGATGTTACATGGTATTTTATGGTATTTATAAATATTTTTCTGACAAATTGGTAATTAATCTTTTTTAATGTAATATATTTATCTTGTAGCAATTACTACTATGACACGTGTTTACCTTTCAACACTTAATAACCGAACATGTATTTAAATTTTATTTAACACAACCAGAGATAAGAGAGAGAAAATCTTGTAGGTTAAACTTTCATTTTTTCATAAAATTAGCACCTGATATATGAAAAAAAGTCCTTACCAGACAATGCAAAGTGTTTTACCTTTCAACCTAGCCTATAACTAGATATTTCTGGGAAAATCGGAGTCAAATAAGTTGACCCAATTACATCACATCCGTAAAGACAAAATGTCGCTGGTTTAGGTGAGAACAGTTCAATATTAATGTTATTCAACCGCCAGGTAAACTGATATAAACGACTTAACCTAGTGTAAATGCGCACTTAACTTGTTAAATATCACGTTGTAAAAATATTTTGTTGTTAAAATATTATATATATAGTTAAAGTGTAAAAAAAAATGTTCTTCATCACGATGAATCTCACATTGCTATTGGGCATTCATTTACGATCCCAAAGTTTCATTCAGACATTTAGTTTATCACATATAATATATCAATTATTAATCTCATACTTCTCAACGTGACACACCTAATGCAAGTGTGTGTTTGTCTGTGTCTGTGCATGTTGACTGATTAAGACATTCCTTAATTGAGCCGCGTCACGACAAAACCAACATAATGTGTTTGCGACAACCATGGATCCAGACCGTGACGCGGCTCAATTAAAGTTGGTTAATTTATAGGGAACTGCCTTCATAAAGAGCAATTTTTATCAAAAATTTTGTCCTTACATGTTAACTGATATTATGCCTTCTAGATTATTGTACTTTCAAAATAACGTTTATTTTAAAGGCCCAGTATTCCCGAGAAATGATTCTATTTATATTTCTCTGAAGCTTTTTTGTTATTTTGGATGTACATTTATAATGTCCAAAAAATTACTCATTGTCAAGTTACCTGTACCACCTTTTTCCTTTGTTGTTTTTTTTTAAAATTATTACATGTTTAGTGATTAAGTATTTTGTATGAAAGTAAAAAGTATACTTTGTTTATATTACAATTTCTTCCCATTTACTATTATTTTCTTTAGGAACAGACATCTAAAATGCTAATAAACCATTATTAAATCGTTATAAAATAAATGATTTTTTTGCCCTTTCGTCTGAAGCAAAAAGTATACAATTCTGCATGTTTGTAACGTCTATTTTCATTGGACAATCGTAAGTTGTTGTTTTTTATTTCTCTACCCTGCTGTTGCATTATAAAAGTCATTCTTATATTTATTTGAGAATGAAATTAAGCAGTACGATAGAATGTTTTTATTTATTTGTTGTTGTTGATTATTTGTATGCTATTCACGCCATAAACACAGTTCTTACAAACAACATAGCGGCCATAACTAGCAGAGTCGGAGACGGTTATCGGGTAATTTGGCATTATACCGCTTGTCTGTACCTATTCAAGTTTTACAGCAGCCTACAAAAAATAAAATAATTTTACATGATGTCTATATTTTTTCAAAGGTTCTAGACACATTTTTTTTCCTTTTTAAATTGATTTTGTCAGTAACTTTTACGCAAATTATTTATCAAAGTACAATCGCAACACCAACCAAAGTAATGCAAACAGTTGTCTGATGATAATGAAACCTCCATTTATGCTGACAGTATGCCTGATTGTCTTAAGGTTGATACAGCACGAAATCAGAAATCACAGAATACATCTTGTAAATAGCTATATACATGTAGATCATTTATTTACAAAGCCTCACATCTCTATAAAAGTATTTTAAATATTACATGTAGGTCTTATTTAGTACTTGCTTTTAAAGTTTGGCAGGATGGCAGTACTTAACTGAAATTTTAAGGTTGTTATTGGTTTATACAGAATTTATTTTAGTTCGATTGTGTAGGAAGCTTTAAGCTTATAGACACACTTTCGAATCCGTTCCTGGAACCAACCAGCACTGAACAAAGAGTGTAAAGATTCTTGCTTAAGGAAACAACGACTTGCCCCTGACGGTGTTTGAACCCATGCGGCTGGGTAGGCTGTTATTATTTCTGTATGTCCTTTATATTCCTATATAATTGGATATAACGCATGAAATCCGACATATCGAGAGTTAAACTTATGAATGACATAGCATGGCATTGCAATATCATTATTTTGTAGATCAGCACTTGATGTAGATTGCATGGATAGCTGTATGCTATATCAGATGCCTCAGGTCATCGGGTGACTTTATTTGGAATTAAGGAGTCTAATTTAATGAACGTTATGCTCGTGTCTGGAATAATGCTCGGAGGAGCACTTAAGTTTTTCCTCCACAAATAAAGCTGCCATATTACCTCTACTGTGTTGGTACAATAAGAAAATATAAACGTCTCTAGAATAATGTATGTATGAAATATTTGCCGAATGAGGGCCCATCCGCCCATTAAGGCATAAAATACAGTTTCCGTTGTCGAGTACGGACCCCGGACATGACACTGTTCATGCCCTAAAATAGTTTATTTAGTATAAGCCAAGGGAAATGAATTTTAAGCCGAAAGTAGGTCATTGTGCAATGCTCAATGAGCGTTTAAATGTACAATAACCAGTGACAATAATGAAGGAGGTTACAAAAGCAAAGGGTTAGGCCGTTCTAACCGTCTCTTTGTCACGTACCCAAGTACCCTTCCTTATCGTCGCTGCCTTCTCTATAGGGCCACACCCGAACATCGGCAGCCAGTTGGTAGATTACGCTCCAGTACAAGATTTTAACCTGCAAGCTTGCCCGTGATGAGCAGAATTCCAGCCAAGCTGCAGATCATAAACCGATGTCCTGCACCTTTCCACGACGGGGACGTAAAACCTATTGAAAAATTAAGATCCTTGTATATATAAATGTGAGATAATACTTGGCACTAAATTTTAGACAGCATACAATAATAACGACAGCAAGATGAGAGTCAAATAATCACGTTTCATTTTCTTTAAAAGATAAATTAACTTACTGATTTTATGTTAATTTGGCGCTAATTCAAATATCAACCTTGCTAAACGTTACCCATAAGATGGCAAAACGCTACTCGAACCCATAACTGTGTAAAATCAAAGCACAGAAGGCGCTGAATTTGTTTGGGTCTCAGAATGTCAGAAAGGTGAAGGTTGTGAGATTATAAGCCAATTTGTTTTGTATAGTGCCACCAATGCTTTCCAGCGTTTTAATTGTAGTAAATTGGCTATAAGACTAATTGCAACACTGATATTCAATCCAATGTTTATTTGACTTAAACAATTTGAAGAAAAAAATGAGTTGCCTTAACTGGGATATGAACTCCAGACCTCTCGCTTCCTAAGCGAGCGCGCAAACCCCTCGGCCAAGGAGAATTTATATATTATCCAACTGAAGAAAACCATATTATTCTAAATTAGGGTTTGTAACGACGCTAACTGTTGTTTAACACAGATGTCAATAATCATGGAGCTTACTATAGTCTGATTTTATTGACCTGTCAATTTTGAATACATTATAGCACTCATTTAAATATTCGATTTCACTTCGGTTCTGTCCGTGTAGTTTACGAGAATTAATATGGAGTAAAAAATTAATGTTTTGAAAAGTCACACCAGCTTAATGCATAAGCCTTGTCAAATCCGCGATAGCACAGACGGTAGAGTGGTTGTCTAATATACTGGGGGTCTGTAGTTCGATCCCTACTCTTGCCGTTGTTTTAAGGCCCACTCTTTTTCTTTATTTTTGCAGTATATTTTCATGAAAATGGCCAAGTGCTTCCAATATTGTCTACACATATATGAATCAACTAAGAAATATTGTCTCAATTTGTATTGTGTTTAACGCCATTGAAACGACATTTTCTAATTTTTATCCGAATTCATTATAAATTTTAATTATGAAAGCATGTTATTTAAAAGGACTTTAATTGCTAAACATATTAAATCAAAACGAACAACATAACAAGCAATTATAGTTCCGATAATGTTGAAAATAGTTATAAGAAGAAGAAAAAAAAACAAACAAAAAACATTGGAGGTACGCAGTCTCGATCTCACAACACGTAGGACATTTAGAAATCATTAACCTGTAGCTTACCCTATTTCGCTATACCGCACAGTATAATTGCTCAATAGGCACAAATTATATTTAATCAAATCTCACGGAAATTACCGAAAATCTTTCGAAGATTAATATATTGTGTGCATTGACCGTGTAATTAGTATGGACTTGACAGGTTAATAAAACCAAACAATATAAGCATGTATATCTATAAAGAATAAAACAATATTAGAAATCTTCGACCATTCGGGAATTATTTTGCTTGAAAATTAATGCGCCTGTCATTTGACCATCTTTACGCAGTGATCTCCCCTGAATTTTTCGGCGTTAGTGTACATATAAAGGGAAGTAACCGCTTCAAAAAAGTGGACTACTTTCGGCAATTGCAATTAACAGCATTAGAGTCTGAAATTTCGCTACCATTATTTGTTTGGTCTGACGACCCAAACAAATAAAAACTATCGCCACATGAAGAAAATAATGTATAGGTGAAATTGTTTTTACGCGAAAGATAAAATAAGTCTTGTTAGTAGTAAGCTCAAGTGAAAAAATGCCAAAATTACTTGAAAACTGTCGCCAAAGTGATGAATATAGCAACCATTTTGTCAGTACACGTTACGTCAAAAATTACGTGATTCCCAGAAGTTAGTGTTAAATAAGCATTAAACCGTTTGTGCAGAAGACAAATACGACTGTTTTATTGTTAAGATAAATGAAAATCACCAAAAAATTAAATTTACTCAAGTTGTAATCTATTACAGTAATGGTTGAAATGTGAAAGTAAAGATATTACGAAAATAGGGTGTTTGGGGTTGGACCCCAAAGTGCGTTTGACCCCAAAGTGCGGTGTTACATTGCTGAGCGCGTGGGTTCGGCAAGCCGTTGTTTCCTTGAGCAAGAAACTTTACATTCATTCCATAGTACTGGTTGGTTCCAGGAACGGAATCAAGAGTGTTTCAGTAAGCTTATAGCTTACAACACCATCGAACTAAAAAAATTGTATAAACTAAAGCCATATTTAGAAAAAAATATTACCAACATAAACTAAAAAAAAAAACAGCTATAAAATTATCCCTCGGATTGTTATCTCACGCAGACTAATTCACTTCACAGGACTATTTTATTCAAACAAATTAATTTCTGACATATCTTGTTATGTCATTAAATTTTAATTACAGTTATATTGGACCATGATTTTAAATGGCGCCTTTATTACTATATTTCTATCTCCAATTCTTTGTTTTTAAAGCAAAAACATAAGTTTAATCCCTGTTCATGACACCGCATTTATATTAGTAGTACAATATTACTTCAAAAAGTCACATAATTATTTCTTATCACTTGGAATATTCGAGTAGGCTGATATTTCAATGTAATGTGAAGTATATAAATGTCTCCTGCTGTTACGTCGTACATATCGTGTTACATTAGACGCTCTATAGCAGACGACAATTCCGAAACAACCATTTAAAAGCACACAAAGCTCGTGAAAGTGTTAGATAGTAAAGTTCTATCTCAGGTGGAAGGACTGGCGAATATTGTCTTTGACAATACTTGGTTGGAAATCAGTTTAAACAGGCATGCTTAGTAGAAACCAGAAATAATTCTGAACGGAAAATAGAGATAGAGGACGCAAAGACAAAATATATCAACTTATCTGGTGCTATAAAAAGGTAATACTAAATTAATATTAAATATACAAAATCAAAACTTTTGTCTTTTCTGTGTCGTTATCAATCTATATTCAAAAACATGTTTTAGTTATTTTTGTAATGACTTTAGGAATTTATTGCATTAATTATAATGAAAATGTTTTTTGCAGCTATTCTATAACATGTCAATGAAATCGTTTCTTTTTTTACTTTTTATTTGGATGCAGATAACATTACAAAAAAAACTTAAAATATTGATCCTTTAAATAATTCTTCAATACATTTTGAAACTTCTTAGGACGATAACAAAAAATATAACAAAAAAAACAAAACAAAAACGAAAGTTCAAGGGGGAAATTATGCTAAGAATATGTTCAACTAAAACAGACAAATTGTGACAAAAGTAAGATACAATGTCATTACTTTGTATTTCCATATTCCAGTTTATCAATGGTTAAAATATTGTGAAAACTACAGTTTTATATAAAAAAAATCCCACACACATTATAAAAGTATCAGAGTATGATAAAAAGGCAATTAAAAAATGTTTTCTATTAGAAAACTTGAAACGCACTGTATATTTTAAGCAGAAATTGAAAATGATTACTCGCAGATGTACAGTAAAATATCAACGGAAACTTTAATATATTTTTTATATATATTCAAAATTTTAACGCATGAAACTTAAATGGATATGAAGTATTGTACATAACGTGGTTTCCATTAGAAAGCTAAATGTTACATTTTATAAAATACATGTAAGTAAGATTATTTTCATTTTTGAATAATAGTAAATAGTTAAAATTGAAGACTCTCTTGTCCGATGTAGTATGTGTGTTTGTCGTAAATTGCAAAGCTATCTATCTGATTTTTGAGACCAACCAAACGTTTTAGGTATCTATGATTCTGTTGCTCGTATATGTAATATTTGTCCCTACATAAAGTAACATAGTTCATTGTTGTCTAAAGCTTTCAGCATATACATGCATGCTATGAAATGCTATTTTAAGTGTAAATCACGTGGGGAATCATGTTTATGACAGCGTCGTGTAAAATTCTTACAATCCCTGTATATCAAACTTCATTGATTGACACTGATCAATAGCATTTACACCAGAGCATACAAGTCAAATTCATATTAGAGTAAACTTAATCAAAATAATTCAAAGTTTATTGTAAAAAATATGTAAGTGCCGTTAAATCTTTTTAAAGAGAGTTTGTCTGTAATAGAAGGTCCGTAATACAAAAGATAAAAACATTGATGGTATTTAATATCTGCCATCACAACAAACCATGCAAAAATATAAATGGATGTTGTAGGTGTGATATTACATATGATATATCAGGTAATAAACTACCCTAGAACAAAATATTATTCATTATCACATAAATATTCATATTACATTTTTTCGCAAGCAATATTTTATACTAATATCCAAATGATACATTCTATTTGTTTTAATCAATGTTTGAAATTGCGAGTACTTCCTTTCTAGACCAATCCACTTTAAAGACAGAGGCACTTGTTTATTATTTGAAAAGTTATTCATTTTTATACATATGATTGTCCATATTTTATAATGTACATATTAAGAACTAGAACCAAGGAGTTATTGAACATAAAACTGATTTTTGCCTTTAACAATAATTGTTGTGATAATAGTGCAGTTACATTGTTAAAGGCGCATTATGCCTAAGAAATCCATATTTATCAAATTCGTTAGAAATTTAAAAATGTTTTAATAATAGATTTAGAGCCTGTAAAATGTTTAACAACTAAGTAAATTAGCGCTGAATGTGCAGTAATAATGTGTGGTAAATGTGGCAAAATGTAAATAAAGTATTATTTTGTCTTTCATATAAGATACTTATTCACTATAATTATACCAATTGCCGACAAAGCAAAAGGAGCAAAAATAGATGAACCATATGTAAAATGAGTAACTTTTTGGAAACTGAAACAAGATATTAAAAAAAAGGTTTTTGAGAAATAGAAATGATAGCATTTCTGAAGCATAATTGCCCTTTAAAGAATGTAATAATTATGAAAAAAAGTAGAAATAAGTTGTTAAAGACGATATTTAATTGTAATTAAAAATTTCATAAAACTGTTTGAAAATCCGATTTCTTCCAGTAGATCTACTAGTTTTATGTTTGTTTAACGTTTCCACCTTCGAACTTATTACTTTTTGTATAATAACAGATTTCTATATTATTAACAATAAAGTATAAATGTTTTAGACAATAATGTTTCATATTTCGAGGTGAATAGTTTTTGCGCTGAGCTCTCTTATAGTTTCAGATTTCTAAATTTTTTTTTAAACACAAAATAAATGTTTGTATTAAGTGACTTTTACCACAATCAATAAAGATGTATCTTGCCTTTTGAATTATGGACCAATGCAGAGTGGGGTTGGGTGGGGGCGGGGTCAGGGAGAGAGAGAGGGAAGAGCTAATGACAAAAAATTGGGCTTATCAAACTATTCCAAACTATTCCTACAGCGTACGACTAGGAAAAAGCTAGTATGTATTTCTCATAAAGTTAGATATTAATCAATTACAGAGGTAATATAAATCTCCATAAAATCAATTAAAAAAAAAGTTTCTTAAGTTTCTGTTGAATATTGATTTACTGAAAACAACATAAGAAAAGTGTGGACATTATATATCGAATTCAGATTTCAGCACTGTTGCAAATCATGTAAGTTCAAAGAAAAGATAATATTTACATTGGTACTGGCCATTCTTATCAGTTATACGCAGTCCAACGCTCGAGCTAATTATCGGTTTTGAGTAACTGACCAGACACTTTTAACCCTGAAACCTATTTATTCAAAAATTAAATGTTACGTTTCCGTAAAAGCTTCCTAAACTACCTGCCCGTCTGCATTATTACCTGTAATAGATACAACGTATGATTATTTAATAAAGTATCACATCTTGCCCTTTATTATACCATATCTGATTACGGCAACTTTTATTGAAATTTTCGCTAGAAAGTCTCTTCCAATGGTAGTGATTTTTTTTTACAATTAAATCTCTAATCGGTTTTCTTAACTTAATATTTTAAGCGATATGTTACTGTCCATTGTACAACGAATTAAGTCGAAACAGCCACAAAGATAATGATATACATTTGAAAATATTTGAAATATTTGACACGTTATTTTTATACTTAATGCTTAATTGAATGTATTCCAATTAACATGTTCAGTATGTACCATTCATGCTTTAATATTACTGTTACATCAGTTTGTATGATCATTGTTTATATACTAAACTATAGGTTGCAATTTTTTAAACTATTCACAATAAAATATGTTATAAATTATAAGGTCGCCAATCACAGTATATTGTATTATAGGATGTAAGTTAGTAAATAAATAGAACAAAGTCATTATCAACATCAATCGATCTTTATGATAAGTATATGATAACCTGATAATACCTACCTAATTACAATATGTATTAAAGTCCAACATAAGCTCCAGAAAATAAGTTCCGGAGTTCAACAGTTCAATTATACAGCATCCATGATTATATGCATACGCCGTAGCCATTTGGCATATATTTCTTGGATACAATATGTTTCTGAACGAAATATAAGACTAATTAACCTATTTCATGTAAACTTCTTGATGCTCTTCTTTTTAAAAATGTGAACAGGAATAAGGTGTTTTGTTTTTGGATAAAATTCATTATTGGTTAGTATATTAATTAACTATTTTGTTAGGTGTCTGGTACATATTTAAACATTGTAACGTATTCACATGTGCATTTTTAAATAATATATTTACATGACGGTGAGCAATAATTATATAAATCAAATCATTACGATGATATGACGTTTGACTTTTCAACATGTTATATAACCAAAAGAATACCGGTTATATAACATCAATTATTATTTTTTATCTACAAATATGCGGAATTTGAGTTTTGAGAATCGATATCATAAAGCTTGATTATTATCTAAGATACTGTACACACAATATATACATCATATATACATGTATAATTTCTTTAACCATGTCTCATTAACCAAAACCCTGCTGGGACTGAAAGTGGTTGCCCTTTGCCACCAGTATAGAACCAGGCCAGCCTGCACATTCACACAGTCTGTCAAAGCTCGATATAGTTGACTCACCAACTTCAATTTTTTATCTTCATATTTTGATATCCCAAAAATTGAAAAATTGAGAGACAGACATTCTGCAGATGATGAGTAAATGCACATTAAATCTATAAAATTATTAAAATAATTTTAAAAAATCTCGATCCTTGTACTTATTTAATTACAAAAAAGAAACAACAAAAAATCCTAAGTTAAATCAATTTAATTCAATTGATATATTTGTCCCAGTTCATATAAAGTGGCCACTTTTCAAAATCCGTCATATAATAAGAACTAAAATATTTGTCCCAGTCCACAAAAGTGTGGCCACCATTACTCGTTTTAAGATAAGAACTAAAATATTGATATGCTAAATTCTGTTACGCACTTGCACAATAATTTTCTTTTCGTTTTAAACTTAAAATAAAGAATGCTTTATGTAGTAGAGAATCGTCCCGTATTGTACTATTAACTTCAGATAAAGTATTGTTTTTTAAAAAAGTAACAGCGAACTTATATCATTCAGATTGTCCAATATTTTCTTGTTAAATCTGCATGCCTCCAGATGAGTCAAAATATTTAAAGAAAATCTAATTTGAGAATAAAATGTACTAAAATGGTAAAAAAATTTAAAACGATTCAAAATTCAAGCAATCATTTTCATGTAATATATGTTTAATGACTGATTTTTGCAGTATTTAATCACTTAATTTATAAAAAAAATTATTTTCGTAGATTTTAAGTGCCGTTTGCAGTGTGTAAATTACTTTCATTGTTTTCTTGACAGTATTATTTTAAAAAATTGTCATGAAGATTGTCATGAATCTGGAGGCATGTTGCTTTTAAACGTCTCAAAATATACTTTAGATATAAATTAATAATAGAACACGGACAATGCTTGTTAACTATCATAGAATTATTGAAGAAATAACAGAAGAAAAAAAGAAACCAACAACATTTACATTCAACTCATCAAACACTTTAAAACACGGGAGTGGATTTTCATTGAGCAGCAAATTTACATATCTTGTGCTTAAAAATTCTCTTTTGAAATCTATTTACGACCAACGATAATTTTGAGTTTTGTTTTGTACATTTTAATTGTGAATCGCCTATCCTAAATTATATCTAAAATAAGAGAAGCGGAGTCTGAAAATAAAAGAAACCAAAACTAGAACTTTTATTAGACTTTGAACAATAGTGTAACACGCAAGATTTTTTTTATTCAAATGAACTTTTTGCACCAATTAACTGTGACTCAAAATTACAATTTCTCAATATATTAATCAGCTTTGATTTTTTAAAAAAAAGTTTACCCGCCTAAACAAGGTGTGGTTCAAATATTTCATAATACATTGCAAAAATTATTTATGAGAAATAGAAACTAATACTTTTTCAAGGCACTTAATGAGGTATACAAAACATGTAAATTTTAGCCCAGGACAGAAGATAAAGTCAAGCTTTAGTAAAAAAAATAGCTGGAAAATCAGAATCAAAATTATCTATTTTTACATTTTATATGGTTTTTCTATTCTTTATTGATATTTCAACAATGTCAACAATTTACTAAAGAAACTTTTCAAAGTTCAAGACAATTTAACTACATACTGGTAGTTTAATAAAAAGAACGTTTTGTGGCAGCGCCCAATATAGAAAAATATCGGATGTTCATGTGCTACATCTAAATACCATATTATGGTGTCTGTTTTGTGCCATTCGTGTTTTCGCCCCGCGACCACGTACGCCAAGCGCAACAGTCGAAAATAAACAAGTTAAAACGGCGGGGGCGCGGAGCGAAAACACGCAAATTTCGGGGTGAAATTTAAAAAATAAAATTTCGCCGCGTGCCCCGTCTCATTAGCGTGTTTTTGCCCCGGGACCCCGCCAAGCGAAATATCGAGAATTAACAAGTTAACATGGCGGGTGCGCAGAGCGAAAAAAACGCTAATAAGCGAGGGCGCGGAGCGAGATTTAAGAAATAAAACGGGTGCGCTAATGAGCATGTTTTCGCTCCGCGCCCCCGCCGTTTTATTTCTCAAATCTCGCCCGCGGCCCCGCGGGGCGAAGTTTGTTTTTAAACTTCGCCCCGCACCCCGCTAATTTGCGTTTTTTCGCTCCGCGCCTCCGCCATCTTAACTTGTTAATTCTCGAGTTTTCGCTTGGCGGGGGCGAAAACACGAATGGCACAAATCAGCCACCATAAATAATTGATATAGAATAAAATAAGTTATGAATCGTTTGCATGACGTTATTGACCATTTAGATGACATCATTTGGTTATTCCTAATCATCTCTTGTGTTGCAGACAAAAAAGCCGAAAACACACACACACTCTAGCTGGTAGAAACAATGCATTAATTAACGCGTTAATTGACCTGACAAAGACATTGTTGTGGACACTTCATGTCGTTGACATAAATACAGACCATCTCACTAATAAGTTTGCCTAATATAGTTATAGTTCACAATACTTTTATGATTTTCAACTTATATGTAATATTCTTACATAAACTTAAGTTACATGTATAGGAATTATATAGTATGGATAAAAACACCAAATCAATTTTGTTGTACATTGTTTTACATACATGTGTATATTTGCAATGTAGTCGAACATGCTCAGTGACTTCCATTCTTATTATTCTTTCTCGATAGTTCCTGTAATACAGTTTTACAATTGAGTAACCCTTAAAGCATTAACTTCAAATTAAACATGATCTTTTACCATTGAACGGCAACATAAACAGTTTATCACTCCTGCAGCATTTACGATTATGGCATAATAATGTTCTAATATAATTAAATGACGTAAATGGGCGCTAAATGTTAGCGTTATACTATACGCGTGCCAATGAAAAAATGATTACTTTCACGGAAAAACAGTTCTTCTTAAGGTGTGTAATAAATGAGCATCATATTCGTGTTGGTCCATTATTAACCTTTTTTGAACCTGTTGAATAAAATAATATCATGCTCGCCTATGGCTGACATAATATAATTCTATTCAACGAGTTCAATAAATTCATTGTTGTAATATTCAATATCCGGTATCATCTTACTGAAAATACTTCATGTGGCATTAATCTCCCTATCCTAATGTTATCTATATAAACATTACAATTAAGTATTAAAAATGTTGTATAATATTTACGCTTTTGGTGTTAGAATTTCTATTTTTAATATCCAAACTTATTGGTATACATTTCGATAAGTTTCCAATGGGTTATGGTTAAGCAGACATTGGATTTGATTTCTACAACCTTTTAAAAAAAATAAAATTTGTTAAAATTAGGGGTATAATAACGGCGTTAATGACAAGCCCTTGTCTTAAAATGCCTTTAAGCATTCTCAGGGTTTCTATCTTAATCTGGCTTCAATTTTGATAATATATCTTCTGGCATGCGAGTAAGCCGGTACAAATTCGTAGTTACTTAAAAACTACATATGAATACGCTCAATTTGCTTGATTTGATACCAATTTTTAAAGCATGCAAGGAACAATCGAGCGTTTATACGAAAATACGGGGGTGCTCCTTTTGTACGAAAACTACTCGCATACCAGTATCATAAAATGCACATCATATAGGCTATAAACGACGACTTATCAGTATGCGTTATGGTGTTCAATATTCTGGAAAAATGATCTTTTTATTCTCATTACGCCCTTTATTTCTATGGTGTTAAAATGATAAAATATACAGATATCGTGTTGAAATTTATCAAATTCTCGGTTTTCAGCAATACTCACGCAGCACAATGGCGTTAAAACGTTTTGTAAAATAAACAATTTTAAATATTAATAACCGGGAACGCTCTGGTAAAATATTCATAATAGTTCCTAGGTCGTACTGGTAACTGATATTTATGTCTAAATAAAATATAAATTAATTATTCTAAAGAATAATTAATCAATTGGCATCATTACAGACGTACTCTGCATATAAAAACTAAAGAATTTTAATTGTAAATATTTGTTATTTTCAGAATTCTTAACATATCATGAACCTTTTAAAGGCGTTGATCGTACTGTCTGTAGCTGTATTTTCAAAGGTGTTTGGTGTACAAGTTTGTGGAAAAGCTCTCGCAAATATGCTTGATTTAGTCTGCGACGGAAGAGGATTTCATTGGATAAACCCTGATAACGGTAAATATATTTAGAAAATAGATGACTAATTGAGTGTGTTGAAGAATAATATCCGAAGTCAGATTCACAGATGCCTGAGTATTTGGATGACAAAGCATATACGTACTTTAGTATTATTGTATAATAACAAAGTTTATTTTTATATTTTTATTGAGCGGAGAAATAGTTTTAATTACGTCATATGGCTTGTTCATGTTTGCTGATCGTATAGTTATGCACACGATTGCCCAGCATGTTTGATAAGGACAAAGTTAGATTGCTTTTACATTTTGAATAAGAATTATACGTTTGAGACTGTACAATATCATAAAATATTCATTTCAAAATTGAAATTTTTGACAAATGAGAGTTTTGATCGTCGCATTATTGTCTGAACATACATATGTGGATAACAACATAACTTTCGGCTTTTAAAGTTCAAATTTCAACTATGTAAGGAATTATTATTGTTGTACTCTATTTTCTCGTTCTTAAAAAGCAACATGTAATACATAATATGTAAAAAGAAAAAAAAGAATTTAAAACAATAAACTTTCTTTGGTTTTGAAATAAATGAACGATTTTATTTCAATTTTAGTAATGCCTACAATTTCAAAAAGATCGGCCAATCAGTATTTAACGAAAAGATCTGGTTCCCTGCAAAGAAGAGGCGTAGTAACAGAATGCTGCCGGAAAGCATGCACTTTACAAGATATGGAAAGTTATTGTGCTGCCCCGTCCTACGATTATATCTATAATCCCATAGGTGCACCAATAGTAAGTTTATTGACAGTAATATATATGTATATTCAAAATTTATCTTTTTTCCCGCTGCAAGGTTAATGCAACGACAAATAAAAGGAAATATTTCATAATACTATTAATAAAAGAACGAAATTACCATAACGATTGGAAGACTACTTTGTTGAATTACAGTTGATATTGCTCAACAGATAAAACAAAACTTGAATAAAACATTTTTTTTGTGGACGAAGAACGTAGTCTTCTTGTTGGTTTCATAATAAACATGTATTTACAAAACAAATTTGACCTCGTATTAAACCTTCATGATATAATTTTTCAGACAGAAGAAGTGGCGAACGAAATGGATGAAACAGCCAAGCTCAATAATTTCCCGAATTCCCTGACAACCGCACCACCACAGCCAGAAAGAACAACAACAAAGTCAATAGCAACAACACCTAGGCCAGTACCAATACCAATACGACCCATTGGACCACCTAATTTAAGAAAACTATTTACAGGAAGTTATTTAGGATTACCAAAAAATCACGGACGATACATGGGTCTTGGAAGCCGATTTTTCTTTGTTAAACCTGTCGGACCAAGACCAACTAGAACGCCAGTGGTTGCTTAACTCTGCAAAAAGAAGAAAACATGTTACAAACGACCATCTTACCATGCTGGAACTGGTGTGCACTTTCCCATTTTGTCTGCACTGAAAGGAAAATCCATGAGTTTTTGCTTTTTCCGGCATTGCATATAATCCCGATACAGCTCAACATGTACATGATGTCTTCGTTCAAACTCTAAAATGACAAAAGTACATACAACACAACTACATACTGACTATACACCTATATATATATATATTTGTTTGTTAATCTGAAGCTTATTTTTATGTTATAACAATCTAGACTACATGACGCCAGATGTGAAATAAACAATACTATTTATATGCTATATTAATAAAAGTGCTTGCAGACATGACAACGAAATATTTGATCTTTGAAAAATAAACATCAAACATAATTAATCTAAATGATATACCTAAAATGTCCATCTTTAATGTATTTTTCTCTACGTGACAAATGCATTTAAAGTGTGTTAAAAAGAACCTTATTGTTTACATCTGGTTTTAATTAACATTTAAAAAAGTGATATGCGAAGAACAAAAATATGAATTTCGAAATATTTCTTGTTCCCTTACGGAACATAATGCTTTGAAGTTTGCCTTTTTCACATTTTCTAACTTTTGCAATGTAAAGAAACTGTAATGTAAATTCACATTTGAAATATGAATATATCAGTTTTTACTATGAAATAATGAAAGATAAAGTGAGGTTAAGAAAACTTTTAATTATTTCTGTTTTAGATTTATGTTTAATTTGCTCATTCTAACATATCTTTGACAATATCTGAAAAAATGTTAAAATCGAATTCTATATGAGCCGCGTCACGACAAAACCAAAATAATGGGTTTGCGACCAGCATGGATCCAGACCAGCCTGCGCATTCGCGCAGTCTGATCAGGATCCATGCTGTTCGCTATCAGTTTCTCTACTTGTTATAGAGTTTGTAAGCGAACAGCATGGATCCTGATCAGACTGCGCGGATGCGCAGGCTGGTTTTGATCCATGCTGGTCGCAAACCCATTATGTTGGTTTTGTCATGACACGGCTCATTATTATTTGCATGATGGATATAATATGTACACATTTCACTATTGAATTTCTTCTTGCTGAGATGGAATATAAATAAAAAATACAATGTGTTAAAATTGCAATAAACTTATTTATCATTTTAAAATTCACAAACAAAACAAACAGACAAACAAACAAAACCCTCAACCCCACCCCCCCGACCCTCCCGTCGAATGATACAATAATTGGATTGAAGTTTTTTTTATAGAAGTAATACCGCAAAGCATTATAATGATACAAAATAGATGAAATAGAATCCCCAAAGAACGCCCAAAACGGAAAAATTCAAAATGTTGCAGGCTCGGCATGATTGAGCCTGTTCATGGACAGTATTTGAAAGTGCATAGCCCACGACATTGAAAAATTGAGCAATGTTAAGCGAATTAAAGTCCTTTTTAGATATAATGACGTTAAATTCATTTGTAGTGAAATAATGATCAAATTCTTGAATTCGAAGAAACCAATTAGACTAGGAATATATATCATTTAAATATTAACTCTGATGTTTTTGTGATTTTATGAATATAATTGTGAGATATACATGTGTCTATTAATTTAAGATTTCAAAAATTACTCATGAAATCGTTACTAGGATCCAGAAATGTAAAATATTAATTACATAGTTCTTGGCACATCATACTGACTTTAAGATATGCTTTACACGAAAAAAAGAGTATGAAAACTTACAGAGGCCAATAACTCCAAATGCATTAAGTATAAGTGACAATATAGTTTTCTTTAATGAGAGTGATCAATCTATTTAGTGTCAAGTTCATTTTTTTAATACTTCTTCAGTTTTGCTCGTTCAAATCAAAAAATTTACAAAGTTTAATAAATCAAAATACATATGCAAGTGAGGACAGGTTTTAAAACTTTACAATTTATCTTAAAATAAGATCCATCATGTTGATATCTCCGATACCTTACGTTCCGGATAAAAATTTTGTATGAGACATTATAAAGGACAAAAATACAAAAGAGAGTTCCCTGTACATTTTACTCCCACATTTTCCGCTATCCATCTGTGAAACTTCAAGTTGATACACCCATTACTTTTTGTGTTACAGTTTCTCTTGCTGCAGCGTATGGAGTATTTGGTCTATGTGATAGTTAGTCATATTTAACAAATAAAACATGGCCTTGAGGGCAATATGCAAGTTTACGGACTGATTGGTCAGACTGAGGAAGGTATATGGCCCGAAGCGCAGCTGAGAGACTTATACCTTCCGAGGTCTGACAAAGAAAGTCCAAAACGGCAAAACAGAAAATTTTGCAAGCTCAGTTTGATTGTGTCTGTCCATGGACTGTACTGTCTATTGCATACTACCGTCCACCCCCCCCCTAGCACCGGGTTAAGCAGAATTCAAAAAAATCTAACATGATAAAGTTTTGAATTTTGAAACATCCGCAGATGTGTTTATACGGCGGTTATCATTGAACATTCAATATGACACTAAGTGTCATTCCAAGAAAAGCTGCGTATGGTCCCAAAGTAATAGAAAGCGTGTGCCCGAACGAGAAAACAATGGGTGGAACTAAACAAAATGGAATTTTGAAAGGAGATCAGAGGTTATGAAGCCGTCATATCACAGACAAGACGTCAAAAGACAAAGTTAAAAAGCAGACAAGTGTGATGCAACATATTTCAAGTAGGAATATTGGAACCACCCAACTAGAAAAGACCAAATAGTAATAACTAACAATACCACAATTTTTACAAAAATGTCATGCTAAACGATCTTTAAGGCTCGGAAATATAACATCTCTGATTAAACTTTTAACAGTCTCCACACGACTCAATCAACGCTGATGTGGCGATAAAATAGAAAAAATTAGAATCCGTAAAGAAAGTCAAAAAAGGAAAAATCGAAAATGTTTCAGGCTCGGTTTGATTGAGCCTGTTCAAGGACGGTACTGTTAAATATCTACTTGAACACTCCCACTTAGGTGAATTCATAATAAAAAGGCTTAATAAAGATTCTTGATAAAGACAAACTTGAAGAAGAGTTAAAGAGTATGGTAGGTAGAGTTTTTTTTTGTATATTTTGATGAATATTGTGTTTGGTGTTTCACTTGAAGAATGTCTATTTTATAGAAACCCTAGTCATATAATAAATGTATAACTTGTTTGATAGCTGTGCAAAAAATAATATTTTTTGAATTAATTCAGCATCATTGCTTTTACATGAACATATGTAAGATGCTGTCTGTACGGCCTGTGGTTTATAAAAAAGTCCAAATATTTGCGTGTCAAAGAAAATGTCCTAGCTTATTGCTCTTTCATTTTTTTAAATAGCAATGCATAGCTCTTTCATGTTATTTCAACTAATTTTAACGAATATTCACAAAGAAATAAATCATGATTTAGAATATCCGTGCAAATGTTTATGTAAATATTACTTAAAAGCGAATTCAAGCGAGTACTTTTGACAAATGAGTATTATATAATTGCAACTCAATTTATATCATATGTAACATTATTGGAAACGCTTTGATTTAACAATATTTTTTATCTTCCGTGCTGTAGTACATCTTATTTATCCTATGAACTATACATGAGGTCAAAGTTACATGTCGTATGTGAAATAGAGAAAATTGTCCTTCATCTATACATTGTTTAAGATCACCAGTCGCCTATTAAACAATGATTCATTTATAAAAAACCATAATGATATGTGTATATATTCATCATCGTGGTTTCGACTTTTCACTATCGTAGTTATGTCGCTCATGTCTGGCCTGCGCACAGATATCATAACAGAGACTATAACAATGGATGCCGATTTTACCAACGATTAAATTACAAAGAAAAATGAAGCCAGCATAACTTTAGTACATTGTGCGTTTTGCTTAATTTTAAATGTTAACTGTTTTGGACTACCGGTTACAGTTTTATATACAAGGTCGACTTTTCACCACCAATCTTTCGTTTGTTTGCTTTTTTTCGTTGTTTCGAGATATGTGTATGTCTGGATTTCCCTGACGGGACACCGTAAGTTTTCACCACCGTGGTTCGTTTTACCATCATACTTTCGACTTTTCATCATGGTGGTTTTGTTATTTTGACTTTTCACCATCGTAATTTCATGTGTTCGTTGTTTTGAGTTACGTGTGTGTCGCGATTACCCTAACGGAACAAAATATCGCGACACACACATTACTCGACACAATGAAAACATAAAATTACGATGGTACAAATATATTGAATTAGGTACATACAAGGGTTTCTGCCTACACAAAAGGTAATTTATGAACAGTGCATCGTAAAACATAAACATGGCTAATGTAAAGTATGCTTTATTAAGATTACAAAGAAAACACAGAAAATGAGTCAAAAACGTCAGGTGTTGACAGGATTTTAATATATAAGATAATACATAAGAGGGTTCTGAGAAAAGGTAAACTTTTCAAATATATCTCATAATCCATTTACTGACTCGATAATATTATTTTGTTATGCCCCCGAAGGGAGGCATAATATAATCGCACCGTCTCTCCGTCCGTCTGTGCGTCCCCACTTAATTCGTGTCCGGACTGTAACTTTGTCATACATGGAGGGATTCTGAAATAACTTGGCACAAAAGTCCACCACATCAAGACGATGTGTCGCGTTCAAGAATTACGTCTCTACCTCGTCCGTCTGTCCGTCCGTCTGGGCGTCCCCACTTAATTCGTGTCCGGACTGTAACTTTGTCATACATTGTACATGGAGGGATTTTGAAATAACTTGGCACAAAAGTCCACCACATCAAAACGATGTGTCGCGTTCAAGAATTACGTCTCTACCTCGTCCGTCTGTCCGTCCGTCTGTGCGTCCCCACTTAATTCGTGTCCGGACCGTAACTTTGTCATACATGGAGGGATTTTAAAATAACTTGGCACGAATGTCTACCACATTAAGACGATGTGTCGCGTTCAAGAATTACGTTCCTACCTCGTCCGTCT